TTGTTTTATAAAAAGAATAATTGTTTTTAATTTTTCCCCTCGGACACATTCTGCGATCCCGTTGCGACCCACTGGTTGAGAACCACTGATCGTAACCTACAACATTTTCCCCATGAATTTCCTATTATCCCATATCTTATTTTTTTTTGTCGATACTTCTCATTCATACCTTAGCACGGGCTGAATTCGGTACATACAGGGTGATTCCTATAGTACCTGCCACCGTTTGGGAGCGTGTAGGTGGTGCGTAGGGGAGTATTTTGATATAGGACCTCGTATAGGACACTTGGGGTCGGAAATCTAAAATAAGGGTGCCAGAGCCAAATTTACCTTCTGGAATTTCGCGCCTGTAGGTAGGCAACCCAACCGGCCGGCGGTGTTTTTTTCTTTAAACGTTTGGGCTGGCATCCTGGGGGACAACCTACTGGGGCCTTACATCCTCCCTCCGCGTCTAAATGCCCATAATTACCTGATTTTCCTGCGCGAGGTGCTACTAGAACTTTTAATGGATGTTCCAGTGAACTTGTACTGGGACCACTGGTTCCAGCACGATGGGTGCCCTGCTCACTACGGGCGGCAGGTGAGGGAACACTTGGACCAAACCTATCCGGACAGATGGATCGGCCGTGGATGTGCGGTGGAGTGGCCTGCCCGCTCGCCCGACATCACCCCATTAGATTTTTACTTGTGGGGTGTGATGGAAGCGCACGTCTACGAGACTCCCGTCGAATCCGAAGAGGACTTAATTGCGCGCGTCGTCATGGCCGGAGGGGCTGTTCGCCAGGACATAGGAGTCTTCACGCGAGTTCGAGGGGAGTGGTTGGCTAGATGTAGGAAGTGCATTGAGAACAACGGTGGCCACGTTGAACACTTGTAAACGTTATTGCTTTTGACTGTCGTTTTCCCTCCTTCCCTCCCATGTCGCTTCCTCACGCTAACTCGCTCTGCATCGCTCCGCGCGAAACGTCGGTCGGTTGGGTTGCCTACATACAGGCGTGAAATTCCAGAAGGTAAATTTGGCTCTGGCACCCTTATTTTAGATTTCCGACCCCAAGTGTCCTATATCAAAATACTCTCCTACGCACCACCTACACGCTCCCAAACGGTGGCAGGTACTATAGGAATCACCCTGTATACAAGCAAGATATACAATTTTGCCATTTCCGGCCACCATCTTGGAGTTAAAATTTTTTTTTGTTATTTTCATTGTAAGAAAAAGATATTCTGCGACTTTTATTGAAATCAGTCAATATTTTGAATTTTGGCCAGCTAATTAATTCAAATACCCCACTGTGCGACCGTACTGATCACCTTTAATTTTAAAAAAACCGAACCCTCCCAAACCAATCCCACTCTTAATTACTGAGTAAATTTTTAAACGCCCAGAAGGAGGTTTGTTCCTAAAAATGGCGGCGTCTAAATTTTCTATTGAATCTCTACCAACCCCGAACGGATGTTAATAAATTCCATCTCTTTTCAGAACCTGCACACTGACTTTGGTGCAGGAATTACGAAATGTAACTTAAAACGCCCGTTATCTAGACGCCAAAACCAATTAAAGAACATAAAGCTCATTGCGCAAAAATGACACATATTTCGCCGACTCCAATCATCCAGATAAATTCTTTATATCATCTTTATACCATCTTTTATGGCCACTTTTTTCGAAGAATCTGATAGTGTTTTCGATTGACAAAACTCGTGCTGCACGAGTGCAATTTTTACGTTCTATTGGTAATTTTAGGGCAATTTTCTGTGTTCCATTGGCAAATGTGATGCAACAATTACGCACTCAGTGCAAATTTCGACGCACGAGGCCCGAGAGCTCGTGGAGCTGCTAGTTAACAAATTTTCAAAACAAACGTGCGACAATTTGAATTTGTTTCTTGCGTTGGGAGAGTTTTTTGTCGTCATTTAGCGATAGCGAAGATCGATGAATTAGCCATAACTTCTATTTTACAAAAAGTTGCACTTACTCATTAAACTGAACGCCAAAAATTGGTCCTTTACAGGAATTTCAAATTTATATTCCTCATCGTTTATCATAAATAATACTGAAATCGTTTGTAATTTTTTAGAATAGAGATTTGTCGATTACCTAAATCTAAAATGAGGTTATGGACAAATGACAACAAATATTTATGTTCCATTGAGAACAATTTTAACATGGATTTCTTCAGTTTCTCGTGCAACACTCTTGCAGTACGAGTTTTGCCAATCGAAAACGCTATGAATCTGTTATCAGAATTTCCATAGCATGCTAGATGTAGAAGCTATAGGTTAGTACTTTCTTAGTTCTTATGGGCGCCACATTGGATTTTTATGGAATGAGATAGAGGACAAAAAAAGAAAAAGAATGCGTGTCACACTCTCAAAATCAAATGTTTTATATTCTGTTCTGTTGGGCAATAAATCTCTATTATTATTATTATTATTTCCCAACAAAACATCCATGCGTAACTAGATCATGCTAAATCAACATGGCGATGTATTCAAAATGAATTTCTTTTTTCTCCAACCACCTGAATAAGACGCTATTTTGTGACGGTGTTCGGTACGTAAAATTGACGTTTTGCGGATTAATCGCTTTCACCATGGCAACTGTACAAAAAGTGGATACTTTTGGTCCTAGTACCAAAAAGAAATTGACCTTGAAAGTTGACCAATTAAAAAATTACAATCACGGAGATATGTCACATTGACATCGGTTTACATTGCAGGTTGTAAGATATTTCTATACATACAAATCAAATATTTTTGCATATTCAATGCAAATAATGCTGTTACCTATACGTATGTACATGTATTGAAAATGATTTACGCTCGCTATTTTTATTTAAACCATGTGTAACGTAATTTACATATTCGGTGAACGTAATTTTAATACGTATACAACCCGCCGTCGCGCGTAACGCCATCTACTTAAGACACATTGCACTATTATCTGTCATTTTGAATTCAAAATTTGAAAAAGTTAATTGCAATTAATTTTAATTAAAAAACTGTATGGTAAGTTTTTTATTTCAATACAAAATATAACAATATTAATTGTGTATGCATTAGAAATGACTGAAACTGATAGCGACATGGATTGCACTCCGCCAGAGATTATAGAAACGGCAGAACATGCTACCTCAAGATTTGCTCCCTACAAAGTCACGAGAGGTGAGAAGTAAGAACGAATAGGTTATAAGTTAACCTAAAAACTAGAGTGGCATGACACGTGAGAACAAGAAAGCAGATGTTCTTATACTAGTAGTGAAACTGTGACTGAATCTAAATTCGAATATAATTTGAAGTAAAGGGGGTTGGAGAAAAAATTTTATGTTTTATTCGTACAAAAAATGCGTTTTCGGGACTCGGAAGGTTGCTGGACTCCGCTGACGCGTCGTCCAGCAACTATCTTCCTCGTCCCGAAAACTGACATTTTTTGTACTAATGAAACAAATAACTATTTTTGTCATATCATATCATTTTTATTTGTAAATAACAATCCTCTATCTCATTCATTAAAAATGCAATGTGGCGGCCATAGGAACTAAGAAAGCCTGTAGCTTCTACATTTAGCGTGCTGTGGAAATTCTGGTAACAGATTCTCAGAAAAAAAGTGAAGGTGCTAATGGGAACCGTCCACTTCCGATCATTCAAGTTAGGGAAAATGAAAACGAAATCTGACATTTTGGGTGATATTTTAGTTATTTTCAAAAATTGCAAAGGCGTTTTTTTAGTGAGAAAAGGAGGAAACTCTGCCCCCATTTAACTTACACTGTAGCTCTCACTGTTACAAGAATTCCAATAGTGAACCCCTTGTACCTATACCTAAATAACAAAAATACATGTTGGAGTATGCCGGAAGCTTAAGCAACCGTGGCATACAACTACAAAATGTACAGTTCCAGCGATAGAACTTTTGAAACCAACAAAAGCAATGTTGGTTTACTGTTTACTTTAGGACCTTTACAAACAATTTTTAAGTTACATAACACCGGCTTCAGAACCACCGCCAATACAAAAACTACCTAAATGACTACACAAAATCACAATATGCACATCTCTAAAAACTGTGAATGAGATTTAAGAGGAATATCCCTCTTACCAACCCTGTACGGATTTTTCATCCAATCACGCTGTAACTTTTTTTAATTATTTGTCAAAGTTCGGCCGCCATCTTGGACTGTGTTTTGCAGGGCCTACTTTACATTGTGCAACACTGCAAGGAAAATTTTTTTCCCCGGACACAAGCCATTACGCAGTTTTACTCAAAATGAGAGTTGGAATTAGTGAAATTATCCCGTTGTGCGGAAAATCAGTTTATTCAGCTTTTCAAAATTTGAGGGTGGACTCACGGAGGGGTTTTTTTTTTGTTCACTACCCACAAAGCAAAAATCAACAGTACCAGACTGCGTGAATTTTTCCTCTGTGCGTCCGAAACACTACCCTACTATTAATACCTGAGGTGCTCCAATACAAAACTATATTCGGCTTCGATTAGCAGCGACGTACCATCGCCGTACCTACAACGAGGCGATAAAAATATACTACAAACCTTCAACGTATCGGTTCCATAAAATCTCGCCGCCATGTATTACGGTTACCTTTAACCGGCAGCTAAAGTCTATAGAATGTATAGACTCAGCTCAGTATCAGGGCATCCACCATAAGTATCTCCATTTTAAGTAAGTGGGACAGAGGCCCTGTGTTGCCCATGGAGCCTCTGTAAATTAACAACAACATTTGAGTTCACTCTTACACATAAGAAACGAAACCTATTTGCACTTTCTTACAACAAATTTGAATCTGCACTCGACTGAGCAAAGAACGAGATTTATTCCTCGACGTGAATAGATCTCGTTCGCGAGTTAGTTACCTAGTGAACAACAGTATAAACCCTGCGGACCTGTCTATAAGAGTATGCGTGAATTGATAAAATAAATGCTAAAAGTTATGCTCGCAATGTGAACGAAACTAGAGTAACGTTAAAAAATAAATTTGATACTCACTTGTTCGATGTGACTTGACGGATGTGAGTAAAGACGTTGATAACGTCTCGAACGCGTCGTGGCGCCTCTTCGATTTTAGACGCTAGACAAATACAGGCCATCGCTGTTTGTTCAACAGGATGACGCACTAGACTTTTTGAATAATAGAAACGTTGCAGTAAAACCTGCCCAGTAGCCATTGCTACCTGCAAATATTGGCCACACCAATTAGTAAGTTAATAATCGTGAAATTCATTGGGTCAAAATTATAAGGTTATATTTACCTGAGGTAATTTAAGTAGAATTCCGGCGGTCTGTATGAGCTCGCATCCGTAAATTCGCAAATCGGTTTCGATATCATTCTCTAAGCCGTCGGTCTGTGATGGCGTGGTTTCTAGCTTATCGTCGGGTAGTAGTTGGTTTTTAAGGGATAGCACTATTTTTCCGTATGGTTTTGTATTGTTTTTCACTATTACTGCCACTGTATCACTTTTATTTGAACCCATGTTACTTATTTCAAAACGTTTTATGTACGTTTCCCTTTGTTGTAATGAGCAATGATTACGAAACGCATGTACAAAATGTCTGACTCGCTTTCTGTTTGTCAATAACTGGACTTTAATTGGTTTGCAACTTGGATGAGTTGGCAGCGTTCAACGTGATGTGAAACTCGTTTATTTCTGTAATACAGGGTCATCATAAATAATTCATCGGGTTTCAAAATGTTATACAGAGTGAAACTCGTTTATTTCTGTAATACAGGGTCATCATAAATAATTCATCGGGTTTCAAAATGTTTATACATATTTCCTGAACTATTATACTTAGAGCCATCATTGATATACAGTGATATTCATGTAGAAGTAGACATAAGGATTTCCTATAAGAATTTTCTAAGTCTACTTTTACATGTTAAAGTCTCCCGAAAGACGCCTAATTTTATGCAACCAAAATAACGTCTTGAAACAAATAAAGATCTGGCCATTGATTTATTATTCAATGATCTGGCTGTCATATTAATTATTAATTTGAATATTGTTGTTTTAGCTTCACAGAAAATAAATCTCCTAAGCTCCTTTAACTGTTATCGGCATTATACCAATTGGAAATATCAACTTTTTGTTTACAGTACCACCATGCTCAGAAAAGCCCCGGAAAATATGCGAACTAATTTTGAAATAATTCAGGCTGGCCAATAGAAAGTCTGCAAAACGACGCGATACATTCCGTGCCATAATTATTAATTATTCCATTTTGACAGTTGACGCTTCACAGAAACTGGGTGCATTTAGTCAGATCCCAAGCTACGATCGGCGGTTCATCCATGGCGCTGTCACTTCTGGGAGCGCTTCTTGAAAATTATGTTGATGTAGTAGACAAATTTAGTGAAATAAGGGCACGTTGCAATGTGTACAGAGTGTTCCAAACTGCTGGTTTTCAATCTTTCTAGGTACTAAAAAATATAGCGTGATGCGGTTTGCACTTCTCGTAGTTACTTTTCAAAACTATGTGGTGTACTTAACCCCCAGGTCAGAGATGGGCACTACTAGCGAGCGTTTCTCTCGAAAAAGCGCTCTAAGCGGAAAGAGCGCACTTTTCGGAGCGGCCGCTCGGTCTCGACACTGGAGCGTTTACTTAAAGTGCTCGGCGCTCGAGCGCTTTTTTCTGCCCGCGAGCGGTTTTCCCGCTCATGAGCTTTTTTTCTGCTCACGAGCACTGCTCGGAACTCGGAAGCGGTTTCGCTTTTAAGACAATTAGAGCGCTTGTCGCTCCAGCGGTTTTTTTTAGCACGCATTACCCAGCTCTGCCCCAGGTTTTACGCTAACTTCACACTACAAGAACACAGAAATAAGGTCAACCCGGCAACGTATAAAAATGGCCAACGGAATAACTATTCCCTCCAAAACTAAACAAAATCCCTGTTAAATTTGATGTGGCGCGTGATCAAATATCTAAGGCAGGGCTAGAGTTTTCGCGAGCTTGTTTAGGCATCATTTAGCTACTTTTTCAACATTTTCAAAATCGAGCCAATGCATTTAATTTTTTTGAGAAAATTAACCATTTCTGTCGGAATGACGAAAAAAGCCCTCAAGCGGCGATATGTGATACTAACAAAACTTCAAATATTACAATATTTGCAACAACTCTTCAATTAACCCGAGTTTGTTAAAATCGACTCAGCCGTTTCGAAGATACAGTGTGTTCTTTACGAAAACTTTTTGAACACCCCCCACCACTTCATTTTTAGAGATACAGCAATAATTGTCAAACAAAAAAGGTTCAAATTATCGTTGACTTCAAAGACGGTATTTTTCTATTACGTTAATATAGTGGAATTCACAGAAACATCACTATAACGACCAGATATGTGGAAATTAGCGAATCGCAATTCCTTTATTGTACATAGAATCTAAACCGAAGAGTTTTTGATTAGTGTAATCTTGCCCCCAAGATAGATGAGTCGCCCCTAGTTTCGGGGTTCGAGTTTACAGTTGAATGTCGAAGACAATCACGGAATTACCTGTGGTAACTCAAATTAATGACAGTTTTCAGTCCCGTGACTGCTTTATTCACCGAGAAAATGTTAGTTACAAACAACAATTAAGTCAGTGCACACACAAACAACTCTACATATTGAAATAAAAAGATCAAAATTTTTATGAATGTAACTTCTGGGACAAGACCAAGTAATCAACAGATAAACATAGCATTACGTCAAAAATGTAAACAGTTACAAACAAAGGGATAACGGGATAACACGTGATTCTGCATTATGATTAAATCATAATCAAGTACATTTCAAAAACAAAAGACTGAAACACGCAAAAAATGTAGAATGCTGCATACACAAATGCGATATAAAGAAATGCAAAGATTACTACTTGCATTAAATAACACAAAAATACCAACGAAATTTACGGAGCGATGCTTCCGCCATCGCCATTCAAAAACGGATGCCAAACGTAACCAACGTTCGTGCTCTCCAGATGGCGTAGACTGCTTTTCCCCTCCTAAAAATTGCGTGGTTGCCAACTCTCAAAAATGTGTGCGTCGTCGAAAGTTGTATCATTGTATTTTCGTTTATAAATACAATGCTTGTATATACAAGAGGTGGAACCTCTCAACTGTATAGATCGACGATGCCAATTATGACGTATGACTTTTGCGCGAACGTTGCAACAGCGCAAAAATTCAAAAATGTAATAAGCAGTTTTTGTTTTATCTCATTATTTGTGAAAATATGAAATAATTTGCAAAAAAAACGTTATGGCAAAATAGTTAATTAGTAAGGGGACAAAAGTTTGTTTTTTCAAATATTCAAGAGTGAATAAAGGTTTTCTCTATTTATCTCAATTTTTTTCTTATCAAACATACTGTTAAATATACATTTTTCTAAGTAGAAAAAATAAGGAATTTATTGGTGCAAAAAATATTATACATTCTTTGGTGGTGTATCTTAAAAACCAAGTTTGTTTTTTATACTTTTTCATTATTCCCACAAATACCAGATTTTTTGGACTTTTGCACTGTTGCCACGTTCGCGCAAGTCATACGTCATAATTGACATCGTCTATCTATGCATCAGCTTTGAAAAGTAGCTACGAGAAGTGCAAACTGCATCACTCTATTTGTTTTAGTTCTCAAAATATCACCGAAAAACATCGCAAACGAGCAATTTGGAACACCCTGTACATATCTGTTTTCATTCCACCTACCAAGCTGTTAATTTGGTGGTGAATGGGAGAAATAGGAGGGATTCATGAGGGCACCATTTTGGTGGGCCACACCGGGCACCAACGGTAGTTACCCCGCCACTGACCCTTTTCAACAAAAAAAAATTGCGGAAAGCTCCAAATTTTGCACTTAATTTAATAACACCTACTTCAGTTAATTTCGTTGAAATGTGAGGTTCTGTTACCTCATATTTCCCTTAGACTATGGAAGAAAGGGACTGATATCTTATCAAGAGCAATGCTGCGTGTTGAATCAAATTGCCGTGTGGCGGCCATATTCTCGGTGCACAGAAATGTGTTTATTTTTTCTTTATTCCATCAGCTATTTGCATTTCTTGACTAGTGACGTACCTCCATTGTATTTATTGTATACTATTATAAATGAACATGTGATAATCCACCCTTATGGTTAGGCAACACACCTTTACATCTGAAACAAAAATATTATATGCTCTGTATATAACCAATCGACCGTTTTGCGCAGATGCCAAATACTAGGGTATTTTAGTAACGAAGCTAGGGGAAAAGGAGCGTGGCAGAGTGAAGAAGATGGCGACGGGGTCGATGGAGGGCATCGCGTTTTCCGGGGTTTTCTTTTTGATTATTTAGTTTCTGGTGTTTTGAAGGTGTAATTTACAGGTAGTACCTAACAATTTTATTCTATTTTGTACTAACTAATCATTGAATTTCTTGCCACATTTTGCTGATTTTGCATAAAATGCCGATATCTAAATATGGCGTACTCCATGCTTTTATTTTTGAGTACCGTTAGATGAATCGTGTTTGTTATACTGTACAGGTGATTATGCCATTATTTTGTTTTATTAAGTATTTATTTCTGTATTCACGAATTGATTATCAGTGCGATGTTGCTCTGTTCGATTGATTCGTAACTATTCTGTGAAAGTGCCTAATACAGTTTTATTGTCCATTGTATCTGTTACTTTCTGATTCGCGGCGCACTGCAGTTCTTGTGCGTTGGCTATACGAAGGGGGGGCTCTCTTATTTGATGTTTCGATGTTTGTGTGTGTGCGAGTGGTTCGTTCTGTCTCCGTGGAGCAGGTACCTAATACAGTTCCTTCGTTCTCTGTATCTGTTGCCTACTCGTCTCGTGCGGATTGCAGTTCTTAGCATCTTAGCAATGCGAGATATTTAGGGGCCCTTTCATTAACATTTCCTCTATTTAAAATATGTTCTGCTTGAGCGATAATCGATTTTCACATGAATACTTGCTATTGGCCTTCTCCCATGTACTTTTCGTGTTAAATAATAAATGCAAAGATATAGCCAAATCTATAAATGTTGAGCTGCAGTGGGCGAAGAGCCACAGCAACATTGCAGGAAATGAAGAAGCAGACAGGTTGGCCAAATTAGGACTTGAAAGGAAGGATATTCTCAATAACAAACTAACCAAACGAGATCTGTACCTGGTAATTAAAAACTCTCTGATAAAATAAAAATGGGAACTGCAATGGATTAATTCTTATCGCACACATACTACTCAATATGCCAAAATTCAACCCGCATTAATAAAAAGACACTGGGCTCGGGATTTTTCTGTAGGTCGCCAGTATTTTTCTACCATCGCTAGGCTCAAGTTCGGTCACGGTCTTTGCCCTGCCCATTTATATAAAATAGGTAGGTATTATAGAGTCACCTGCATGTAGGTGCGGGAGTGAGATGGCGGATCTCAATCATATATTTTTTGGATGTCAACTTAACCAAATGCAGACAGACATACTGATTGCAAAACTGGTGAGAATGGGACTCCAACTACCCACCGACATCGTTAGTCTTTTGGCTGCCAATGACAAAAATGTGTTCGATGGTATAATACACTTCTTGAGACAAACTCAGATAAATATTTAATTTACAACTCCTAATTTTTTCGCTCCTCTTGTCTTGTCCTTTGTTATAGTACCTAATTACCGAACCGTGGTCTAGTGCATTGTGTTGTCTGTGTAAGTCGCATTCACAGGCCCCTTTGCGTGAAGTCTATGTGGCCAGTGTTATCTCCTTATTGTTAAACAGGTAGGGCTATCATGGGCTTGATCCCGTTAGGGCCTTTAATGAAAAAAAAATTATTTCAATGAAGGCTGGAGTAGAGCCACACCATTTTGATGTTTCCTATGTAATGCCATTTATTATTTTACAAGTTGTGTTAGCTCAATTGATCGTACAGGTATTTTGATGTGTTTTTGACCTGAATTGATTTATCAGGTTTTCCACTGCATTTATGATGTCTTGTGTATTTTGTTTTTTTGAACTTCTTTAGTTGCATTTGATTTGATTATCTGATTTTTATCATACAATTTGAGATGTTTTATTTATGTGTATTTTCTCTTGCATTTTATTGCTGTAGGTGATTTATTTCAGGTATTTGTGTGACCTATGCCGGGGTTTTTGTTCCGTAGAAGGTTTCCATGGCATGGTCTTGTTGTGTGCGTAATATATTTATTTGTTCTTGTCATTTCTTACGCACAAATGTTCTGTCTTTTATTTAACACCCTTCCCGATTATGTCTCACATCCCAACACACACACACACAAGAACCAATTACACAACGTAGGAGTTCATTTGTGCCACCCATATCGAGCCGACTGCCATCAAATTCAAAAGTGCCGCAAAACGTCCATCGTTTCGACTTGAAAGGAAGGTGGCTTTGCTTGTGCTTTTTCCCAGAGTTGCTAACGGTAAGATAGGGTAAGTCAACGTTTTCAGTGTCGGCTTCATAGACCCCTAGGATCATTACAGCTTTTTGCCACTTTCTGTGCCATTAGTTATAAGGGAGGATATTGTTTCACAGTTTCGCTTTCCTGCATTTGATTTTCCGTAGACACAGCTAATTATTATTTTTTTTCTTCTTTATTCCTGATTTTCCGTTTTAATTTAAAGCAACCGACTGTGCGCGGACTTCCTGGCATAGCTTACTGCTTACTCTAACCATACACGTTGAATTCTTATTTAAGAACGGCTACAGGCTCAGTTATACGGCGGATCTCAGGTTCTCTTCAAGAGAAGGATGTTCGTGCTCGTTCTAGAAGAAGGATCTGAGGTTCTACTACGCGTTAGTTAAGAGGAGACGATGATGACACAGTAGCAAATTTGCAATTCTTGACAGGTTTACGCAATGTTTGACGCATTCTCATATTACACCTTTAATTCTATATGCAGGCCTCAATTTTGCGGAAAACACAACAATTAAGAACACATAATTGTATAGCATGACGCAATATCCTTATCACTAATCCCTGTTATAAGTTTTAATCCCCTAGAGTTGCCTTTTTATCCAAAACGCCTGACATGATCGACTTAAGTTTCGTTAAGTTCTTCAATCCGGCAGGTACGCATTAAAAACTACACCGTCATTGTTCACAGTCGCTTAATTATGAATCAAAACAGTCACGTTTCCATTTCGTTTAAGCAGGCATGGCGGACAGCGTCCAGCAGCCTCGCAGTTTCAGCCGGATACGAAAAATGCTGGTAAAATTCCCGGGAGGAGGTGTTTCGCTAATTAAAGATGAGCGAAGCGGAATTGCGGAAATCGTTCTGGATTATCCCGAAATACGCAACGGAATGAGCGGTAAATATGTAAATTCGCCACCGGTTTCGATCAATTTCGTGTTGCAGGGGTGATGATGGTGGAACTCCGCGAGCGCGTCTTGCAGCTGGAGAATTGGACGAGCGGCAAGGGATTAATTTTGCGAGGGAAGGGTGGGAATTTCTGTTCGGGCGGCGATCTGAACTTCGCCAAGAGCTCCACGGCCGAGGAGGGTTTGGCAATGAGCGTTTGGATGCGGGACACGTTGACCCGATTGCAGAGACTGCCACTGGTTAGCGTGTGTCTAGTGCACGGGCCCTGTTTGGGCGGAGGCGCCGAGATGGCCGTTTTTTGTGACTATATTTTGGCGGCCGAGGATGTTCAGTACGGATTCGTTCACGGAAAGATGGGAATAGTTACGGCGTGGGGCGGCGGTACACAGTCGGTTGGTACAATTTTGAAACGTACGCCAAAACTGGGCCGTTTTGCAGGTTGGTTCAACGAATCGGTCGCGCGAGGGCGCTCGATCTGTTCCTCACCGCTAGAGTGATGAGCGCCGAGGAGTGCGTCGAAATTGGGTTGGCCGAAGCCGTGGTGGCGTCTCCCGTCGATCTGTCCAAAGTGACTAACTGGTTAAAACTACGACTTACTTTGCCATCCCAGATCACTCGTGCTTTCAAAACCATAGTCTCGAGTAACCACATGAATAGTCAGGAGGATGCCCTGAACGCTGAGAGTGAGACATTTGCGCCATTTTGGGGCGGGGCCATGAACAAGGAGGCCCTGAACCGCAACATTAAACACTCTAAGTAGGTACTTTGTGCTTGTACTTCAACTTGTAATTAATATTTTTTGAAACAGAATCTAATTACCTCCACTACGGATCGTTTTTGTGCCTAATAAATTACACCAATGTTTTATGTACCTAGTTTTAAGTGCACCTTGTATACCAGGGTTTCATTCTATTATACTATACCCCCCGGTAGTACGTTCTCGGCAGGGTTGGTAACATCTAGTTGTCGGCTGGAAAAACTGAAAACGGAACCTGGTGAAGCCGGTGTCTTTCTACGCACATCTCTATATATTTTAAAGTCCCTCTTTCTCTCTCCGTCACAGCGGTTATTAAGATCCTGCGCTTGTCTACTTAACCCAGTCAACATTTAATTCGCACCGTTTATCGCCTTTATCTCCGAACATATTTTCATTCACATTTAATATGAAGCGGTATAAAATAAATTAAACTGGTGATCACCCGTTACAGAATAACTTGCTGTTGTTTCTTCCAAGTCACGCAGTGTCCTCTACGGTAAAGTTATTCCTCCCTGCTACTACACGCCAAAAGAACATATCAAGGGGTTAATACAAAAATTGAAGAATTTTTAAATGGGCTTCTGAATTTTGAATCTTAAAGCCAACAATTTTCAAATAAAGGATTTTATCATTGAGAATGGACATATTAGACCTTTAAAACCTTTAGGGTGTCAAAGCATCCAAATTTTGAGCCCAAAATCTTGAATTTATGAATGGTTTATTAGATCTTTTAAAGCCTTTAGGATTTTTAATGTTTAATTCGACTATTTCCGTCGCAAATTTAAAAAACCATACGGTTATGGTAAAAAAGGATTTAAGAATGCAGGATTGGGGCTTCTAATATCTGAATCTTAAAATTTTCTAGCTAATTAGGACCTTTTTGAGCCAACAATCTTCAAATAAAGGATTTTATCAGTGAGAATGGACATATTAGACCTTTTAGAACCTTTAGGGTTCCAAATTTTGAGCCAAAAATCTTGAATTTAGGAATGGTTCATTAGATATTTTAAAGCCTTTCGGATTGTAAATGTTTCATTCGACCATTTCCGTCGCAAATTTGAAAAATCATGCGGTTATGGCTTCTAAAAACTGAATTTATAAATTTTTTAGCTAATTTAGAACCGTTTTGAGCCAACAATCTTCAAATAAAGGATTTTTAAATTGAGAATGGACATATTAGACCTTTAAAACATTTAGGGTGTTAAAGCTTCCAAATTTGGAGCCAAAAATCTTGAATTTACCGATGGTTAATTAGATCCTTTAAAGGCTTTAGGATTTTAAATGTTTAATTCAACTATTTCCGTCGCAAATTTGAAAAATCGTGCGGTTACGGTAAAAAAGGATTTAAGAATGCAGGATTTGAGCTTCTAAAATCTGAATCTTTAAATTTTTTAGCTAATTTAGGATATTTTTGAGCCAACAATCTTCAAATAAAGGATTTTATCATTGAGAATGGACATATTAGACCTTTAAAACCTTTAGGGTGTCAAAGCATCCAAATTTTGAGCCCAAAATCTTGAATTTATGAATGGTTTATTAGATCTTTTAAAGCCTTTAGGATTTTAAATGTTTAATTCGACTATTTCCGTCGCAAATTTAAAAAACCATACGGTTATGGTAAAAAAGGATTTAAGAATGCAGGATTGGGGCTTCTAAAATCTGAATCTTAAAATTTTCTAGCTAATTAGGACCTTTTTGAGCCAACAATCTTCAAATAAAGGATTTTATCAGTGAGAATGGACATATTAGACCTTTTAGAACCTTTAGGGTTCCAAATTTTGAGCCAAAAATTTATGGATGCTTTATTAGGAATTTTAAAGCCTTTCGGATTGTAAATGTTTAATTCGACTATTTCCGTCGCAAATTCGGAAAATCATGCGGTTATGATCAGGATTTAAGAAAAATCTGAATCTTTAAATTTTTAGCTAATTTAAACCTTTTGAGCCAACAATCTTCAAATAAAGGATTTTATCATTGAGAATGGACATATTAGACCTTTTAAAACCTTTAGGGTGTTAAAGCTTCCAAATTTTGAACCAAAAATCTTGAATTTGTGGATGCTTTATTAGATCTTTTAAATCCTTTAGGATTTTAAATGTTTAATTCGATTATTTCCGCCGCAAATTTGAAAAATCATGCGGTTATGGTCAAAAAGGATTTAAGAATGCAGGATTGGGGCTTCTAAAATCTGAATCTTTAAATTTTTTAGCTAATTTAGGATATTTTTGAGCCAACAATCTTCAAATAAAGGATTTTATCATTGAGAATGGACATATTAGACCTTTTAAAACCTTTAGGGTGTTAAAGCTTCCAAATTTTGAGCCAAAAATCTTGAATTTATGGATGCTTTATTAGATCTTTTAAAACCTTTAAGATTTTAAATGTTTAATGCAACTATTTCCGTCGCAAAATTCATGCGGTTACGGTAAAAAAGGGATTTAAGAATGCCGGATTGGGGCTTCTAAAATCTGAATCTCTAAATTTTTTAGCCAATTTAGGACCTTTTTGGGCCAACAATCTTCAAATAAAAGTTTTATCATTGCGAATGGACAGATTAGACTTTTAAAATCTTTAGGGTGTTAAAGCTTCCAAATTTTGAGTCAAAAATCTTGAATTTATGGATGCTTTATTATATCTTTTAAATCCTTTAGGATTTTAAATGTTTAATTCGACTATTTCCGCCGCAAATTTGAAAAATCGTGAGGTTATAGTAAAAAAGGATTTAAGAATGCAGGATTGGGGCTTCTAAAATCTGGATCTTTAAATTTTTTAGCTAATTTAGGAACTTTTTGAGCCAACAATCTTCAAATAAGGGATTTTATCATTGAGATTGGACATATTACACCTTTTAAAACCTTTAAGGTGCTAAAGCTTCCAAATTTTGAGCCAAAATCTTGAATTTATGAATGGTTTATTAGATCTTTTAAAGCCTTTAGGATTTTAAATGTTTAATTCGACTATTTTCGTCGCAAATTTGAAAAATCATGCGGTTATGGTAAAAAAGGGTTTAAGAATGCAGGATTGGGGCTTCTAAAATCTGAATCTTTACATTTTTTAGCTAATTTAGGACCTTTTTGAGCCAACAATCTACAAATAAATGATTTTATCATTGAGAATGGACATATTAGACCTTTTAAAACCTTTATGGTGTTAAAGCTTTCAAATTTTGAGCAAAAAACCTTGTATTGATGGATGCTTTATTAGATCTTTTAAAACCTTTAAGATTTTAAATGTTTAATGAAACTATTTCCGTCGCAAAATTCATGCGGTTATGGTAAAAAATGGATTTAAGAATGCCGGATTGGGGCTTCTAAAATCTGAATTTCTAAATTTTTTAGCCAATTTAGGACCTTTTTGGGCCAACAATCTTCAAATAAAAGATTTATTATTGCGAATGGACAGATTAGACCTTTTAAAATCTTTAGGGTGTTAAAGCTTCCAAATTTTGAGTCAAAAATCTTGAATTTATGGATGGTTTATTAGATCTTTTAAAGCCTTTAGGATTTTAAACGTTTAATTCGACTATTTCCGTCGCAAATTTGGAAAATCGTGCGGTTACGGTAAAAAAGGATTTAAGAATGCAGGATTTGGGCTTCTAAAATCTGAATCTTTAAATTTTTTAGCTAATTTAGGATATTTTTGAGCCAACAATCTTCACATAAAGGATTTTATAATTGAGAATGGGCATATTAGACCTTTAAAACCTTTAGGGTGTCAAAGCATCCAAATTTTGAGCCCAAAATCTTGAATTTATGAATGGTTTATTGGATCTTTTAAAGCCTTTAGGATTTTAAATGTTTAATTCGACTATTTCCGTCGCAAATTTAAAAAACCATACGGTTATGGTAAAAAAGGATTTAAGAATGCAGGATTGGGGCTTCTAAAATCTGAATCTTAAAATTTTCTAGCTAATTAGGACCTTTTTGAGCCAACAATCTTCAAATAAAGGATTTTATCAGTGAGAATGGACATATTAGACCTTTTAGAACCTTTAGGGTTCCAAATTTTGAGCCAAAAATTTATGGATGCTTTATTAGGAATTTTAAAGCCTTTCGGATTGTAAATGTTTAATTCGACTATTTCCGTCGCAAATTCGGAAAATCATGCGGTTATGATACAACAGGATTTAAGAATGTAGGATTGGGGCATCTGAATCTTTAAATTTTATAGCAAATTTAAGACCTTTTAGAGCCAATGATCTTCAAATAAAGGATTTTATCATTGAGAATGGACATATTAGAGCTTTTAAAACCCTTAGGGTGTTAAAGCTTTCAAATTTTGAGCCAAAAATCTTGAATTAATCGATGGTTTATTAGATCTTTTAAGGAATTTAGGATTTTAAAAGTTTTATTCGACTATTTCCGCTACAAATTTGAAAAATCATGCGGTTATGATACAACAGGATTTAAGAATGTAGGATTGGGGCATCTGAATCTTTAAATTTTTTAGCAAATTTAGGACCTTTTTGAGCCAACAATCTTCAAATAAAGGATTTTATCATTGAGAATGGACATATTAGACCATTTAAATCCTTTAGGGTGTTAAAGCTTCCAAATTTTGAGCCAAAAATTTTGAGTTTATTGATGGTTTATTAGATCTTTTAAATTCTTTAGGATTTTAAATGTTTAATGCAACTATTTCCAGTGCAAATTTATAAGATCATGCGGTTATGGTAAAAAAAATTTAAGAATGCAGTTAATTGCGTATAATTCGACTATTTCCGTCGCAAATTTGGAAAATCGTGCGGTTACGGTAAAAAAGGATTTAAGAATGCAGGATTTGGGCTTCTAAAATCTGAATCTTTAAATTTTTTAGCTAATTTAGGATATTTTTGAGCCAACAATCTTCACATAAAGGATTTTATAATTGAGAATGGGCATATTAGACCTTTAAAACCTTTAGGGTGTCAAAGCATCCAAATTTTGAGCCCAAAATCTTGAATTTATGAATGGTTTATTAGATCTTTTAAAGCCTTTATGATTTTAAATATTTAATTCTACTATTTCCGTCGCAAATTTAAAGAACCATACGGTTATGGTAAAAAAGGGTTTAAGAATGCAGGATTGGGGCTTCTTAAATCTGAATCTTTCAATTGTTTAGCTAATTTAGGATATTTTTGAGCCAACAATCTTCAAATAAGGGATTTTATCATTGAGATTGGACATATTACACCTTTTAAAACCTTTAAGGTGCTAAAGCTTCCAAATTTTGAGCCAAAATCTTGAATTTATGAATGGTTTATTAGATCTTTTAAAGCCTTTAGGATTTTAAATGTTTAATTCGACTATTTTCGTCGCAAATTTGAAAAATCATGCGGTTATGGTAAAAAAGGGTTTAAGAATGCAGGATTGGGGCTTCTAAAATCTGAATCTTTACATTTTTTAGCTAATTTAGGACCTTTTTGAGCCAACAATCTACAAATAAATGATTTTATCATTGAGAATGGACATATTAGACCTTTTAAAACCTTTATGGTGTTAAAGCTTTCAAATTTTGAGCAAAAAACCTTGTATTGATGGATGCTTTATTAGATCTTTTAAAACCTTTAAGATTTTAAATGTTTAATGAAACTATTTCCGTCGCAAAATTCATGCGGTTATGGTAAAAAATGGATTTAAGAATGCCGGATTGGGGCTTCTAAAATCTGAATCTCTAAATTTTTTAGCCAATTTAGGACCTTTTTGGGCCAACAATCTTCAAATAAAAGATTTATTATTGCGAATGGACAGATTAGACCTTTTAAAATCTTTAGGGTGTTAAAGCTTCCAAATTTTGAGTCAAAAATCTTGAATTTATGGATGGTTTTTAGATCTTTTAAAGCCTTTATGATTTTAAATATTTAATTCTACTATTTCCGTCGCAAATTTAAAGAACCATACGGTTATGGTAAAAAAGGGTTTAAGAATGCAGGATTTGGGCTTCTTAAATCTGAATCTTTCAATTGTTTAGCTAATTTAGGATATTTTTGAGCCAACAATCTTCAAATAAAGGATTTTATCATTGAGAATGGACATATTAGACCTTTAAAACATTTAGGGTGTTAAAGCTTCCAAATTTGGAGCCAAAAATCTTGAATTTACCGATGGTTTATTAGATCCTTTAAAGCCTTTAGGATTTTAAATGTTTAATTCAACTATTTCCGTCGCAAATTTGAAAAATCATGCGGTTATGGTAAAAAAGGGTTTAAGAATGCAGGATTGGGGCTTCTAAAATCTGAATCTTTACATTTTTTAGCCCATTTAGGACCTTTTTGAGCCAACAATCTTCAAATAAAGGATTATATCATTGAGAATGGACATATTAGACCTTTTAAAACCTTAAGGGTGTTAAAGTTTTCAAATTTTGAGCAAAAAATTTTGTATTGATGGATGGTTTATTAGATCTTTTAAAGCCTTTAGGATTTTAAATGTTTAAGTCGACTATTTCCGTCGCAAATTTGAAAAATCATGAGGTTATGGTAAAAACGGATTTAAGAATGCAGGATTGGAGCTTCTAAAATCTGAATCTTTAATATTTAGCACATTTATGTCTTTGGAGGTCAAAACACTTGAATTTAAAACTGTTTTACCATTGAGGGCGCATATATTTAGAGACCTTTTATGGGGTTCTCAATTTTAAATCTTCCAAATTCCTCATTTCCTTTCATAAATTGGAAAGATTTGAGGTTATGGTTTCAAAAAATGTAAAAATAAAGAAATGGGGCTTCGGGCATTTGAATATTTAAACAATCCGCAAGGTCGTCACCGTACCCGGAACTGTTTGTTAAATATGTCGTAAAAAGTAGATAATAAAATAATCTTATCAGAAATTAGAAATAATTTACATCCAGTCTTGGCCATGAGATGATAAAGTCCAATCAGTTCGTGATACTTTCTCACACGAGCAGTGTATTTTTAGTGAGTATGTCTTGCGAAAAGCAGCAACAGAACGATTTCTCCAAGATCCGCGCGAAACTGTCGGAATTTCCCGGAGGAAACGTCTCGCTCGCCAAAGATGAGCACTCGGGAATTGCCGAACTAGTTTTGGATCGTCCGGAGAAGAGGAACGCCATGAGCGGTTCGCACCATCAAACTCTGTAGGTGTCTCTTAGTAAGCGCCGAATTTTTAAGGCAAAATGATGGTGGAATTTCGGGATCGTGTTGAGGAGTTGGAGAATTGGCACGAAGGAAAGGGAGTAATTCTGAGGGGAAACGGGTGCAATTTCTGTTCGGGCGCAGATCTGAAATTTGCGAAGGCGTCGACGGCTCGAGATGGCTTGGAGATGAGCGAGTGGATGCGAGACGCGCTGGTGAGATTGCAAAGGTTACCACTGGTTAGCGTGTGTTTAGTTCACGGTCCTTGTTTCGGTGGAGGTGCCGAACTGGCCGTCTTCTGCGACTATCTCATCGCAGCGGACGATGTGAGATTTGGATTCGTTCAAGGAAAGATGGGCATAGTCACCGCGTGGGGCGCGGGCACTCGGTGAGTATTTCTTCCGCTTCAATTTACCGGAGAGGCGTTTCTTCAGGTTGGTTCAGAAGATTGGCCATAAGAGGGCGCTTGAGGTTTTGCTCACATCTAAAGTAATGGACGCGGAAGAATGTGTAAATGTCGGATTGGTTGACCACGTCGTGTCGTCTCGGGCGAGCTTATTAAAAGCCCGGGATTGGCTTACAGCCAGATTATCCTTACCACATCAGATAACTAGAGCATTCAAGACCATAGTGTCGAACGCGCACGATTACAGTTATGCGGATGCGTTGAAAATCGAAGGGGACATTTTTGCACCGTTTTGGGGTGGTTCGCTGAATAAACAGGCGCTCGATAAAAATATTAAGCATTCCTAAATAGATCTGCTTGGCAACATTGCCGTTCTGCGATGACCAATGGAACGATTCCGATCTTGCAGTACCCAGATGGTTTATTTAGCCCGAATGACCTGTACAACGTAGTTGGGATACCTACTGTGTAGAGGACAGTCACAAATTCAGGACTGAAAATGCCTGCTCGTATTATTAAATTTTCATTTACATCCCTCATCATGTTAATAGCAAAACAACCCTAATGTAAATTTTACTTTGTTCAATACTCTTAAAGGAAATGATCCCAATTTAAATACAATAAAATGGCTCTAATTTTCAAATTCCCACTCGATGACTCAAGATTACGCAATCCGTCGGTAAGTGACAATATCATCTGCGATCAAATCGATTACTGCAGGCGACGATTACATCAAGGCCGTTCACCTTGAGAAAATGCCACTGATTTAATTTGATTTGTGCGTGTTTAACACTTGTGCTGGCGGTATTTCGCCATAATTCCCAATGCGCACTGATTAAACTTTAATTAATATCATGTTTGATTGACGCTTTACCGTCTAGGACCTTACGTGTTTGCTTGACGGTCATTTACTACTGGTGGCGCACGCAACTTTTTGGCAGAAAGATGTTTACTGGTGGTCGAGAAGGGAATAACACAATTTCCACATTTACGACTCTCCTTTTTGTCCTATCAACCAGTTAGCGCCTTTCAACCAATGAAATCTCTAGAAACCCAAGGGCACGTTGACTAATTTCACATCGACTCAGCCAAACCTACGCCATACAGCGCACTAATACGAGCGGGTCTGGCTCAGCAAGATCTTCCACGACTTTCTGATGACGTACCTATGCATTTAATTCAACAGGATCGTAGAAAACGGGTGTTCTCTTCAGGTTATGATTAATACTATGCTCCCTTAGGAAAGACAGCTTCAATTTAGAAATATCGCTTTGTGAAGGCACAGCTGGGTTTCTGATACAGCCCCGGTAATACCTGCTTCTCATGGAATGGAAAATTAGTATAATCGAGATCTTGTTTATGCACAGGAATAAAAAACTAAATTTCCACTCCACTGAATATTAATTGAGCCCGTGCGTTAATTGGGTTTTGTTGTGTTACAAATTATCTAAGATTTTACCACATGCCGTTGATAACGGCGTTCTATTTATAGCACAATGCGATTCGAAGTGAGGTCACCTAAGCCAGCTAAAAATTCTCTCACAGCTACCGCAAACGCACAAAATTGTACGTTTTTACGGTCGAAGTCAAGCTGCAAATGTCGACTTTTCTGTTTCGTTGGTAACACCTAGTTGTCAGCTGGAAAATCTGAAAACGAAACCTGCTAAAGCTTTTATCTCCAAACATATTTTCATTCACGTTTCATATGAAGCGGTATAAAAAATGTAAACTGCAAATCGATCACCCGTTACAGAATAACTTGTTCCTTCTAAGACACACAGTGCCTTCTACGATAGAGTAATTATTTCCTGCTACTCAACGCCAGAAGAACATACAACAAAATATCAATAAAAGATCTAAAAAAAAACCACCAGGCTTCCCTTACAACTGAGTCAATTTCGCCCAGGATAATATGCTAATGTCAATACTAATGAATAAAATTTTCAACATTTGTGCGTTTTAAGATACCTTTCACCTAACTTGTCTTTGGGGTGGAGGTACCCACCGGGCGCGTACCCACACACCTTACAGACCGTAACGTAACTCGCGCTGGGGTGTAGGTAGTGACGATTATAACTGGCTCGTGGGGGCTCAAACCCAGACGAAGATCGTCGCCGTGGGCTAACCTCCTAAGTAAAGATGTCAGCGGGTCCGTGAAGTTGGAGTGTCGACTTGAAAGGAATTAAATTCCAAGTATCTCATAATTTTGTGCTAATTTGTGCTACTAATTTAAAATTTTGTGCTCATCAGGTTAATGAGAAATTCAACTTTTTCTGATGATACTCACTTCATGCGGTAGTGTCAACATTGGTATTTTCAAAATTGTTTATTGCATTAATTTGGCCTCATTTTGTGCTAAATTATCCTGCTAATTTAAAGTCATCCCGTGCTCGTCCCATCAATGGGCATTTGAAATTGTTCGCTTTAGCTAGGTGGATATTGCCATCTCTATTGCTCCTACAGTTTTCAATATACTCGTACCGCTCGTACTTAGTTCGTTCTTCTTGAATTCGGTAACTCTGGCACCTCAGACAAGAAAAATCTTGACGATAAGTGTGCGCATGCGCAGGTTACGCAATATCATTTTTTTTATTTATTAATATATTTTGTTGAAATTTTCACCACAGATGCTTATAGTAAAGGCAAACATATCGCATATAGTAAAAATCAGGTATGCGCAAGCGCAGACTGCGCAATGTACGCATCTTTTTTTATAAATATTTTTTAGAAATTTTAACCACAGATGTTTCTAGTAAAGGCAAACCTCGCATATTCTAAGAAATCAGATATGCGCATGTGGAAACTGCCCAATACCAACTTCCTTTCAACTATAGATGATTCTAGTAAAGAAAAACATAGCTCACCTACCTATGGACGGACTATGGAAGTACTGAACAATGCATGAAAAATGCGTTGAAATTACTAATAGAGCATTTTGGATGTCTGGTGACGAGATGTCGGGGAGTTGATTTTATGACAACTACGCACTCGCCATGAGTTCATTTCAGCATCGTGGAAACTGTAACGAAGCATGTTTTGGTCGTATTTGGGGATGATTTGCCCTGGATTTGGTTTGATTCGTAGGGCGGGAAATAAACAAACGAACTAACGATTAAAGATGGCCATCTGCGTGAATCAGGTCGGATAGGCCCGTATAGGGGCAAGGAGAAGCACAAACAGGAGGAGAACTAAAAAGGAATTTGATTCCAAAGAAAGGGGACGACAGCAGGCGGCATCTAACGGAGGAATTTTACGACACTTATTTGAAAGGGAATGTGTCCCTTAAAAGGATTCTTCCGAGCGATTCAAATAACCCTGATTATAAGCCAGTTGAATCTTTCTGCCTGTGTCAATCGTGTTCGAGTTCGAGATCCGCGCAATTCTAGGTAACGGAAATCGGCGCCCTACCCAAATTGTCGTTACGGCTATAGCAACGCAAGTAAGATGGGCAAAGGAAACGAAAAGCTATCGGGTGATTGGAAAATAAACGGAAAAGTAATTCTGGTATCTGTCGGGAATGCCCAGGAATAATTAATAAATGATCTGGAATACACGGAATACGGTTGTGAATTAGGATCTGGTTGGTTAGTGAGCTCTGGTAAAAAAGTCTTTTTTGCGAAATACACGGTTCTGCCTTTATAGGGACAAGGAGGAGCACAAACAGATGGGGAACCAAAAAGGAATTTGATTCCAAAGAATAGGGACGACAGCAGGTGGCATCTAACGGTGGAATTTTACGGCACTTATTTGAAGGGAAATGTGTCCCTTAAAAGGATTCTTCCGAGCGATTCAAATAACCCTAATTATAAGCCAGTTGAATCTTTCCGCCTGTGTCAATCGTGTTCGAGTTCGAGATCCGCGTAATACTAGGTAACGGAAATCGGTTCTCTACCCAAATTGTCGTTACCTATAGCAACGCAAGTAAAATGGGCAAAGGAAACTAAAAGCCATCGGGCGATTGGAAAAGAAACGGAAAAGTAATTCTGGTACCTGTCGGGAATGTCCAGGAATAATTGATAAATGATCTGGAAATCACGAATTACGGTTCTGAATTAGTATCTGGGCGCTTTGGTAAAGGTCTCGGAAAAAGACTTTTTTGTGAAATACAAGATCCTGCCTGTATAGGGACAAGGAGAAGCACAAACAGGTGGAGAACTAAAAAGGGATTTGATTCCAAAGAATAGGGACGACAGCAGGCGGCATCTAACGGAGGAATTTTACGACACTTATTTGAAGGGGAATGTGTCCCTTAAAAGGATTCTTCCGAGCGATTCAAATAACCCTGATTATAAGCAAGTTGAATCTTTCCGCCTTCGTGTTCGAGTTCGAGATCCGCGCAATACTAGGTAACGGAAATCGGCGCCCTACCCAAATTGTCGTTACGGCTATAGCAACGCATGTAAGATGGGCAAAGGAAACGAAAAGCCATCGGGCGATTGGAAAAGAAACGGAAAAGTGATTCTGGTCGAGAATGTCCAGGAATAATTAATAAAGATCTGGAATACACAGAATACGGTTGTGAATTAGGATCTGGTTGGTTAGTGAGCTCTGGTAAAGGTCGTGGAAAAAACCTTTTTTGCGAAATACAAGATTCTCCATTTATAGGGACAAGGAGGAGCACAAACAGATGGGGAACTAAAAAGGGATTTGATTCCAAAGAATGGGGACGATAATAGGCGGCATCTACCGGAGGAATTTTACGACACTTATTTCCATGTTACCAATTTTCCTTACAAAGGTTTATAAAATTAGTTACAGAAAAACGTGGCTCTGTGATGTCTTAGAGATATCAACCGTTTATTTCAAAATGTTCTCGTGTTTAAAGTTTTAGAAGGCGAATGAATTGGTCTATCTATAATTGTATGGGTCACTCACTCGCTTCCGGTATCGTAGTGACCGGGTAATAGCTTGTACAGGGTGGCCAACTAAGAATGCGAAGTACTGTATCTGAGAATCTATCCATCGTAGAGGCTTGCGGTAAAAAAATTTGTTACTAAAACGGCCACGAGCAAAACCTGGAAAATATTTTTAATTTTATGAAATGGCCGCTAGGGGGCGTGACTGCAATCTGGAATCTAAAAAAGTGATGTTTCTGTGAATTCCGCTATATTAACCTAACAAAAAAAAATGTCCGGTCTTTGACGTTGACAACAATCTGAACAATTTTTGTTTGACCATTTTTCCTGTAACTATAAAATGAAGTGGTGGGGAGTTATTCAAAGGTTTCCGTAAAGAACACCCTGTATCTTCGAAACGGCTCAGCCGATTTAAACAAACTCGGGTTAGTTCAAAAGAGCTATTCTTCAGCTACAAATAGCATACTATTTGAAATGTTGTTACTTTCACATATCACCGCTTGAGGGCTTTTTTCGACATTCCGACAGAAATGGTTAATTTTCTGAAAAAAATTAAATGCATTGGTTCGATTTTTTTTCATGAAAAAGTAGCTAAATGATGCCTAAACAACCTCGCGAAGACAGCATCTCGATATATATATCTATCGTGGTGGCCAGCATTTCGAGCATTTACGGCGGCATTAAAAGCTTCGTTTTTTAAATCGATCCACCTTAGGGCTTTTATATAATAAAAATAATTCCGGAAAAATTAGCTTAAAAAAATGAAATCTTGAGAGTATAAAATTTTCTTTGGCCTAAATTTTAGGTTAGGAACAAGATATCGAGATGCGGTTTTCGCGAGCTTGTTTAGGCATCATTTAGCTATTTTTTCATGAAAAAAAATCAAACCAACGCATTTAATTTTTTTGAGAAAATTAACCATTTCTGTCGGAATGTCGAAAAAAGCCCTCAAGCGGCGATATGTGAAACTAACAAAACTTCAAATATTATAATATTTGTAGCCGAAGAATAATTCTTTTCAATTAACCCGAGTTTGTTAAAATCGGCTCAGTCGTTTCGAAGATACAGGGTGTTCTTTACGGAAACATTTGAATACCCCCCACCACCCCGTTTTTAGAGATACAGGAAAAATTGTCAAAAAAAAAGGTTCAGATTATCGTCGTCTTCAAAGGCCGGACATTTTTTGTTAGGTTAATATAGCGGAATTCACAGAAAAATAACTTTTTTAGATTCCAGATTGCAGTTACGCCCCCTAGCGGCCATTTCAGAAACTTAAAAATATTTTCCAGGTTTTTCCCGTGGCCGTTGTAGTAATAACTTTTTTACCGCAAGCCTCTACGATGGACAGGTTCCCAGATACAGTACTTCTCATTCTTATTTGGCCACCCTGTACAAGTTACTAGCGACAGACCGTCGGGTGTTAGTCTGTTAGTAAGAGATAATGCCACCTTAAACGGGGTTACGTGGACAAAACCTCTCAGTAAGGATAACCCATAAATAAGATCGAGGGTTGCAGTTCTAAAATCGGGTGTGGGTTTGATTTGGTGCCCTAGAGCGCGCGTCTAAACGAATCAGATTACCTAACGATTTAAGATGTCCGCGTTAAACTATTAGCGCCATTTTGTGCGAGGTCTTGTGAAGGGTAGGGACGGGTCCAGAGAAGGGAGGATTGAGGCATTCGGTTTTGGGCCCCTATACGTTCACTACACGCCTATTGAGAGGGCCAAATTTCAGTCAGTTTCAATCTGGACAATTCCAAAGTCAAGGGAATAAAGAATCTTAAGGAAGAATTGTTTCGTTTGAAGGTAAATTTAATTAATTAATTGAACATGACTACCTTAATTTTATTGAGTGTAATTGAACAAGTAAAAGCGCATTCATCTGCTACAATGTAAATGATTGTTATTATTTATTACTATCTTATTAATTTCATTAGCCATACTTGTATTTTTCAGGATGGTGAGGTGATTTCCACTGACAGTATGTACCGAAACCGAACCCTCGCACAAGTCTTCCACGTCGTAATCTTCGCTGCTCCCTTGAAAGAGAGACTCGGTCGGCTTATATAGCGTCACCGATGACTTTATCTTCTCAAATTTCGGTTCGAATTCCATGAAGCTTTTAACTCGTCCATAGAGCGACTTCACAATTTCCCCTCGACGCTCTTTCACCAATTCTGCATCGTTGCAAAGGCGTAGTAACACGTCGATTCGTTCCTTCAAGCCTTGACAGCGTAGCAGCGTCTCCTAAAATGTTTTCAATGAGAGCTGAAAATCAGCGGTTTAGTGATCGACTACCTCCACCCTTAATAGGCGATCTAGGGGCACAAACGACTTCGCGAGCCCGGCAAGAATGTAAGTCTGCACGTATCTCTCATTCTGTACGTTAGGAATTAAAGCAGCTACTCGCCATTTGAAAATAGTGTGCGATCCATCTATTAAAATCAGCTGCCCTCTGTAGCCTTTACTTTCGAGCTGAGAGACTAGGTGCAAGGCGACTATGCAGCCAAAGGAGTAGGCAATTACAGTGAACGGTTCTTTGGCGGAAGGTAAGTGCTGCAATCGAAAATTAGTGCTTTAGATGTGGGTGTTCACGACCTACCAGGAGAGCTTGCTGAGACAGCTCTTCGATCATTGTGGTAGATTCTTCGTACTGTAGACAGTAGACGTGGCAGTTTAAATTGCGAGCTAAATTTTCCATAAGTGTGCACGTGCCGCTTATTCCGGGAAGAAGAAAGGCACAGGGGGCGTTGTCGGCGTCGCTCACCAAGCTCTTTTGTTTAATGATATATGAAGATTCCTCCGTGTTTTCCGCTACGACCGGAAGTAGCATGTATAACTCGCTAATTACTTTCGTCATAAGGCTCGGATTTCCAGAATCTTCCCCACTTCTTTCACTTTTCATCGCTTGTAACCTGCAAATTATGTTAAAATTTATGGACTAATCGTTTTGTTACCTTGCAAATGTCAGTTCGCGCATGTCCTTATCGCTGAAGTCAACGTTGAATTCGCGCACTAAAATTTGTTTAATTTCGACAGCAATAATCGAGTCCATTCCCATAAGCAAAAATGACGTGTGCATCCCAGCAGTCTTCAAGTCCTTGACGCCTGTAGAACAAACGTCATTAGAGATGCCATTGAGCAAAGTTTGGACAAACCCATGATCCTCATAATGGTATCAATAATATTCTGGGAACCACTGCAGTTTCTCCTTTTCTCGGCTATAACCATGCTGCAAACTACGGGTTCGTCTTGGCTCAACAACGTGTCCAAAACGCCTAGGCACGACGAAACCTTCTGCGGTAGAGTACCTCGAACCGGATTTTTCCGCTCCGCGACCAACCCCACCTAACCGCCAATATCAGTCAAAATATCTTTCCACGTCACGTACCTCGCCAATCGGGCCCCACTGAATCGCTAAACCTGGGCACCCGTCCCTTTTTCGCCGCTCGCATATCCTTTCCATAACGGAATTTGCCATACCGTAATTGCACTGTCCAGAATTTCCCCTTCCACACATCATCGAAGAAAATACAACGAACTGCCTACAATTAAAAGATTGCTAAGTGCCGAAAGACGAACGGATTACCGCAATTCGGGGCACATCTCCCGTGACACCTCATCCAAAAACCTGGTGACAACCGCCTTTGGACGAAACGCTTCTTCGAACGTTTCCACGGTTTGGTTTTCCAAAATGGCGTCCTTCAGGATACCCGCCAGATTAAAAATCGACTCTACCGGTCCCAGCTGGTTTCCTCTTCTGAGCAGCTCCACGCACCCCTCCCTTGTGACGACGTTCTCCCTCGAAACCAAGGTGGTCACACCGTACCGCGCCCAATTTCTAATCTTAGTCGCCTGGTATCCGTTCTTGATACCGGCCCTGGACACCAAAACCAACCTCTTCACACCCCTCAGCACTAACCAATCGGCTAACTCCAGACCGAGCCCACCTAATCCACCAACGATTATCGAGCAGTTTTGTGGATTAGCGTAGAATCTAAAAGGGCGTAGAACTTAAAAATTACCACCTCAAAGGCTCTGAGTCTTTCCTCCAGAGTTCCTCCAGAGGCAAAATCCCGGTTTCAGGGCGAGCCTCTGGAGGACCTTCTGATTTGTAGCGTGAATGTGACAGCATTATTTCATAATAAAGAACCCAAGAAAACGCTGCTGTCCAAATATGAATGTCGGACTTGATTGCAGTCTCATCAAATTGTGCGTTTTAAAAATCGCCTGCTATTAGGCACTTTCCGATTGATTGGTATAGAGATGGGCCCCTAACAAAAGGAGGGTGTATATGGTGCTTGAATGCCCTACAAGCCCACTGTGACGCCTTGATCACATACAGACATGAGCTCTTTGGCGACAGTTATTTGGAACCGGGGGGGGATCAATTAAGGTTAAACAGGGTGCTATCTTTTATTGAGAGCTTTAGTAATTTTGATTTTCTCAAAAAATTCAAAAGAGGGGGTACTGTAACGGGAGCCCGTTCCAGAATTGCGATTTTTCTATTTTTGTGTGAGAGTGGTTTTAAGAGATAGGTTTGTAGGAGATTATAAAGGGGTAGACTTCTTATGAGAATTGCCCTGTTAGCTTTTGGAACATTAACGAAACATTCTTTGAAGAAGGAATGCCAAAAAATTGAGAATAACGAGAGAGGTATGCAAAAAACTAACAGATACCAAAGGGTGAAAACAAACTTCCGCAAATGACGGGATAATTGGAGGAATCCGAGAAACCAGAAAAATTCAAGGAAGCGGACCCATCATGATACAAGGAGACAGAGAATCTGGAAATTTCAGAAAGATTAAAGGAATCCAACAGATCGTATGAAGGCTAGAACTAGAATAGGCAAAAAAGGTTATAAAGTTACCCTTCCGGGCAAGGAGCCGTTTCTTAAACCTGGAGGGTGGGAGGCTTGTTTGGTATACAGATGGGTCTTTAACAAGAGGAGGGTGTATACGGTGCTCGACCGAGAGTTCCTCCCTTAATCAGTAGAATGCAGAATACTGGGTGGTCAACTATCAGCTGCTTGGTCAGATACAGTTATGAGCTCCTTGGCGACAGTTGTTCGAAACCGAGGAGGGTGAACCAACTTAGGCTAAACAGGGTCTTATCCTTTATTGAAAGCCTGCGTGGTTTGATTTTCACCAAAAATGAAAAATAAAAGGGGGTACTGACACGGGAGCCCGTTTAACAATTGGGATTTTCCTATTTTTGTGTGGGAGTGGTTTCAAGAGATAGGTTCTTCTTTTTATGAGAATTCCGTGTTGGCTTTTGGAACAGTTCCGCTGGAATCCGCAAGGTGCAATTTTATTTTGGTCACAAGTGGACCACGGACTGGCTGGGGAGAATCGTCCCTTTTATCTCTATGGTAATCAAGGTGATGGCCGTGGTATACATGCACCGGGTGACACGAACACCATCTTGAAGTGCCTCCAGAGGCAAAATCCCGGTTTCAGGACGAGCATCTGGAGGACCTTCTGATTTGTAGCGTGAATGTAACAGAATTATTTCATAATAAAGAACCCAAGAAACCAATCAACAATCTTTATCTCCCCAAAACGCTGCTGTCCAAGTATGAATGTCGGACTCGATTGCAGTCTCATCAAAATGTGCGTGTTAAAAATCGCCTGCCATTAGGCACTTTCCGATGGATTCCAGTAGGAGCCTGGCGGGGTCCTCATTGCCTTCCGGCATGACGACAACGGGGCGAGGGCTACACCTGTGCAGCGGTACCTAGGAAGGCCAATCCTTCGCTGTTAACCCCGAAAAGAGGTCGGGTTCTCGACTAGCTTAGGTCCTGTGGCTATTCTTACCTCTGACAGGGGGACGTTAGCAGAAGACAGGGGGGGGGGCATAAGGATTGATAGACGAGGTAGCCTTTCTGCAGTGCGTTATCGATCTGACCAAGGGCCCCTCCCCTCACATGATGTAGGGTGGAGGTTTCGTTTGGTATAGAGATGGGCCGCTAACGAGAGGAGGGTGTATATGGTGCTCGCCCGAGAGCTCCTCCCTTGATCAGGAGAATGCAGAATACTCGGTGGTGAACTATCAGCTACACAAAATTGGGCTTGAATGCCCTACGAGCCCACTGTGACGCCTCAGATACAGACATGAGCACTTTGGCGACAGTTATTTGTGACCGGCGGGGGGGGGGCCAACTAAGGCTAAACAGGGTTTTATCTTTTATTGAGAGCCTCAGTAATTTTGATTTTCACAAAAAATGAAAATAAGGGGGTACTGTAACGGGAGCCCGTTCAAGAATTGCCATTTTTCTATTTTTGTGTGAGAGTGGTTTTAAGAGATAGGTTTGTCGGAGATTATAAAGAGGTAGATTGACTTCTTATGAGAATTGCCGTGTTAGCTTTTGGAATAGAATACGAAACGTCCTTTGAAGAAGGAATGCTAAAAAATTCAGAATAACGAGAGAGGTATGCAAAAAACCAACAGAGACCAAAGGGTGAAAACAAGCTTCCGCAAATGACGAGATAATTGGAGCAATCCGAGAAACCAGAAAAATTCAAGGAATCAGACCCATCATGATAAGGACACAGAGAATCTGGAAATTTCAGAAAGATTAAAAGAATTAAAAAGATCATAATTATGAAGGTCACAACCAGTATAGGAAAAAAAAGGTTATAAAGTCACTCTCCCGGGCAAGTGACAGTGGTTAAGCTAATCGCCCATTTCTCAAACCTGGAGGGTGGGAGGCTTGTTTGGTATAGAGATGGGCCTTTAACAAGAGGAGGGTGTATACGGTGCTCGACCGAGAGTTTCTCTCCTAATCAGCAGAATGCAGAATACTGGATGGTCAATTATCAGCTGCTTGGTCAGATACAGTTATGAGCTCCTTGGTGACAGTTGTTTGAAACCGGGGAGGGTGAACCAACTTAGGCTAAACAGGGTCTTATCTTTTATTGAAATTGAAATTTATAAAAATTTTGATTTTCACAAAAAATGAAAAATTAAAGGGGGGTATTGTAACAGGAGTCCATTTAAGAATTGCGATTTTCCTATTTCCCATTTTTGAGTGGTTTCAAGAGATATGTTTGTAGGAGATTATGGGGCGTATGTCATTGGTGGAGTGACTTCTTATGAGAATTCCGTGTTGGCTTTTGGGGCAGAGCACGAAACATTATATTAAAATTATTTTAAAAAGTGATATGCTTACCTCGGTACTCCATAGAACAATGGCGAGTTTCTGTCGTCCGAAACTTTCAACAGAATTTTTCCCATATGCTTACCGCCGGCCATGAAACGAAACGCTTCCTCGACGTGTTTTTTTCTGAACACGACGCGCGGTAAGGGTTTCACCACACCTCTCTCGATACCTCTCCTCAAAAGATCAAAGGCGAGCTTTTGGCGCGATGGAATTTCGCCGAAGAACATGTCCAGCATTATCGCGTGAAAACTGCAGCGTTTACCGATAGTTTCGCACTCCATCCGAAAGTTGCTCTGCATGTAGAACTTTCCAATCTCTAGAAACTTTCCGCCGCGCGCCAGGCAGCGGAGCGACGCCTGGAATTTATCATCCGATAAGGAGTTGAGGACCAAGTCGACGCCTCGTCCCTTCGTCTCCCTCAGAATCATTTGCTCGAATGTGGTACTGCGCGAGTCTCCAATGCGGCGACCTTAAAAAGTTGAGTTTTAGGCGTCTCCTCGACGAGTCCGCCTCACCTGGTATTTTCGGGAAGTTTTGCCGAAGGTAGTCTCGTTTCTCCTCGGTTCCGGCGGTTACGAAGATGTCGCATTCGTAATGGATGGCGACGTTTATGGCCGCTTGCCCCACGCCTCCGGTTCCGGAGTGTATCAAAATGCTCTGACCTTTTTTTATGCGGGCTTCCTGTAATAGAGTTTAACCTTTGCTGTGCTTGCTTTCTGGTTTTCCAACACTTAAATTATCCTAAAATTGTAATCGTGCGAGATTTTAGAAGGCCATGCTGCTGTTCTAAGTTATTGACACTGATATTTTCAAATTATTGAATCCTCAAGCTTAGAAGCACTATAAATTGAAACCGCGACGGAAGAAACTGATTTCCAGACCACAATTAAAGAGACATTGAGGAAGATAGACAATCTAGAAAAGCGTGAAAAGAGTGGCCCTCGATGTTGGAGCTGCGGAGAATCGGGCCTTTGAAAAGTGCTTGCAATAAATCCTCTCAATGTCACCTATCAGACGGCCGTTAGCTGAAAGGGAGACGGAGAAGATTTTCCAAGAGACGGATGGGAAAAATGTGAAGATGATAAACTTGGTATAGTGTAGAATCGGCCCTAAGAAAATAAGCTGTCGGTTACCGAGAATTGACGACACCTTATTGTCATATTTAAAAAGTGGCTATTGGCAGGTGATGAGAAAAAGACGGTTTTTATCCCGGTACCAGGATTATGGCAATTCACCGTCATGCCGTTTGGACTGTGCAATGCACCAGCCACTTTTGGGCGACTAATGGAATCGATCTTTAAGGGATTATCATGGAAGACTTGCCTGGTTTATTTGGAGTCCCAAAAAGTGCAATTTCTTCCGACGCAACGTGTAATATTTGAAGCTTAAAATATACTTACTACAGATTGATCATGAGATACGCGATTGTGGAAACATAGCAAACGTTCTAAAGTCACTAGATATAGAAAGTACCGCAATCATCCGCCATTTTTGGGCAAATGTGCTGCCAACTTAAAAAAATTGACAAATAAAATCTGAATAGCTGTAATTTTCTATAACCTAACTTCATCGTACTGCCATGTTTTATAAAAATATATACAGATATCTCCAAACAGGTGGAACAATCCCTAACATTAAAGTTACTAGAATCTGGTAACTTCCGCCATTTTTGGGCAAAAATCATGCGTTCTCTTTCTAACACACGAGCCCAATGGATTGCGGTACTTTCTATATTTAGTGACTTTAAAACGCTCCAGCTGGTACCTATATGCATTTTATTAAATCGAAAGGTTTGCGTCTCAGCTTAAAATAATCAACAGAAGTCTGTATAACGAGGACAAGGTTTTTACTATTGATGGTGCTGAAATGTAATATGAATTTTCTCCTCGTAATTAAAACAATGGGTCTTTGTATTGTGTGTTTGTGTTCAATTACGACCTTGCGTGGGGCGTATCTGTGGCCGTTCTCTCTCCTTTAATTTAAATTAATAAAATCCAAGAACAGTTACGGACTTTTTTCTATAGAATGGTAGTTTCAGTTTCAGCCTGAAAATTAACATTCTGTAATCAATTACTATGAATCGAAAGTTTTGATGTCTATACGTTCATTCAAGGCATCGCCAAATGAAATTGAAACCAGGTGTCAAATTCTTGCAGGACAGCTTTTTGTATTGTATTTGAAAAAAAAAGTTTATTTGTAATAAAACCTAGCATAATTTGTGTAGGTTGTACACAGAAAAAGAAAGTCTTTCGAATAATTTGATAAAAATTTTACGTTATTGCTATTTAAAAACATAGTATGACGGCACGGCGCTAAAAACTCATAGAAAAAAAAAGTGTTTGAGAGTTTTACATCCTTTATACCTAATCTGCATTTGCAAAATCAAAGTAGGAAACTGTTTTGCCGACAAAAAATATTGGCCAACCTACGTTCATACGCGTTAAAACAGACGGTAAAAATTTGTATTCTTTAAAAGTTACTTAAAATGATCTAAAACGTTGACGTTTGATGAAATTTTGATACGTCCAAAAACGTTAATCGCAATATAGCCACCTAGCTCAGACTAAGAAGATAAAAATGTGCTAATGACCCCGCGCTTAAGTACCGTAATGATCTTAGCCCCCTACTATCTTGGCGGTCTTAACGCCAACTTCGTCACGCCGGAATATTGAACCATATTCTGTAGTAGCGGGAATGCCAAACTAACATGGCTGCCTATTTGAATATTCTCGCTTAAGTTTCCCGCAAGAATCTGTCACTCGGGGGCCATTCCGAGTGCACTAAGATCCTGATCGTCATGTAGGACACTTACGTTGTGTAATAATTGGGTTCTCAGCAGGCACTGAGGGGGTTTAAGGGGAACACCAAAAGCAATAGCTGATTAAGATTATATTGAAGCTAATACCAATACGGCGCCCCTGCAGAGGGTCTTAAGGGGTTCTATATTACTCCGGCATTTACCTTACGAATTAGGAAAACTTCAGGAAAACCTAATTCGGAGTAGTCCTGAACAAAGCCTACAGCTAACATCTAATGTACAGCACTTTTGAGCCCTCTCGAAACCGGGGTAAATACTACATACCTACACGCTATGAGTAACCAAAATGGAATCGAGCCATTCCCCAGGTATTACAACGCATACATTAGACAAAACTAAGAGATATTAAATATGCCTCGCCGGACGGTAGGATTACCCAGGCCCAGTGGGGTGCGTGTAGACGTGGGCTAAAGTTGTTGGGTTTCGGAACGAGTGAAAATGTTAGTGTTAGGTTCACCAAGGCCCGTATAAGCTTGAATAACTCGATCCCCTCTAAACAAGCACACTTCCCTCTTGATTACTCACAGCCCCAAATAAGCAAATATAATGAAATGCAATGAAATAATCGAGAGTGACTAAAAAGCACAATACACAAAATATATGTACACATGCAAGTATGTACAGCAGAGATACAGCCCTCCCGACAATGAAATATGATTGCCAATACCAACAAAGGTTACACATTAAGAGGTACAAGTGATCGAGTCCAGTAAGTACATAAGTAAAGGGTTACAATCTGCATTCAAGTTACACACATTTATAGATTAATTGAATAAAGCAAATACCTCACCTGATATAAAAAGCAAAAGCACACAGCAATGATTAAGGTATAGCAAAATATTTCAAGATAAGCCGTGCTTTACACTTAAGCCGGTTACAAGAAAAAGACCCTGAACACACATGTTAAATCGTATTTATTGACTGCCCCAAGAGACTCTGTAATTTGATCTCTTAACACCCCTAAAAACCACCCGAAAATCGCCCATTCCCTGCATTTGACGCATTTCTAGGAAAAAAACTGGACTGCAGGTGTTTGAAATGGTAAACACATGTGGTCTTCCAAGAAATTCCATTGCTCTCTTTCCATTTTCTGTAATCCCACCAGATTTCGGTTGGCAGCTTGTGTAACTAACATGATGTTTAGGGTGCTTCGTATCGACAATCATATTCCCAGGACGTTGCTAAGGTTGGGGGATCTCAGTACTTTTTTCACTATTTTGTTCCGCATTATCATGCAACCTTAGAAATTCATGACTATACCAAGAACAGAATGGTTCCACGTTCATATCGTGGGGGTCTGCTGCGGTACTTTCCCAATATAGGGTCTCAACAGGGCTGCGACATTTTCGGTCTCACAGAAATTTGGTATCTGCGTCTCTTTTAGGAGAAAAATAACGAAACAAAAGTTAGTTTTTGAAAATTTGAATTGTAACTGCAGTTCTGGACCGGACAATAAGTGGCGCGAATGTTTGAAGATGTACGATAATATTTGAAGTTTTGTTAGTTTCACATATCGCCGCTTGAGGGCTTTTTTCGACATTCCGACAGAAATGGTTAATTTTCTCAAAAAAATTAAATGCGTTGGTTTGATTTTTTTTTCATGAAAAAGTAGCTAAATGCCTCAACAAGCTCGCGAAAACCGCATCTCGATATCTTGTTCCTAACCTAAAATTTAGGCCAAAGAAAATTTTATACCCTCAAAAATTTTTTTTTTTTAATTTTTCCGGATTTATCTTTATTATATAATTTGTGGCCCTAAGGTGGATCGATTTAAAAAAGGAAGCTTTTAATGTCGCCGTAAATGCTTGAAATGCTGGCCATCACGATATAAAAATATATACAGGGTGGTAACTTGCGTAACGCATCATAGAGATTTCAATGTAAAATTCATAACATGCGATTATTGGCTCCCCAAATCATTTTAGAGCAAAAATGTATTAAAGTTTTTTGTAGAATTTTTTTACGCCAATTAACGGTATTAGTTTTCAATATTTTTCATATAAAGACGGAAAATTGGAAAAATAAATCCCGCATCTTTTTCAATAATCTGCGATGCCATGGCAATTTTCTAAAACGCGTCCTTCTGTGGTAAAAAATAATCGACGAAGACAAGAAACTATTTTGTAGAGCCCTGCTTTGAGGCATCTCACTCAGTCCATTTGTTGCAATATTTTTGAAATCCATCATCCATCAATATACCGCATTTTTTCAGAAAACCATATGTGTTTTAGAAATAAAACCCTTTTGGTCTTTTGTGATTGTCGTGAACAACCAGCATATATAAGGGAACCGTTTTCTTGCCCCCCCCCCTCCCACTGAGAGATTTGATAGTCGTATTATTTTAAAATGAATGCGCTCGTTATGCGCTCATATGCGCCACCGATAATAACTCTTGCGCCATTATCGTTTTTTAGAAATCCGAAAAACATTTGGGGGGGGGGCAAGGAACGTAGCCCCCCAGTACGTATTTTGTCCCTTGTAACTAGGTCACCTGATACATTTGGTTATGCGCTCAATTGCGCCACTTGAATTAAAGCTAGCGCCATTACGGTTAAGCCATAAAAATTTTTTAAAAAGTGGGGGGGCTAACTTAACGTTTTCAAAAGTTACGTTTTTTAACATGTTTTTTCTACTACATCGTACCTTTCATCATGCGCTAAAATGCGCCGTAAACAAAAATCTTGGNTATACAGTGAATTTTTTTTAAATGCGAACATAGGAGTTTGCATGCAATGTAATTTCCCTATGTTCGATTTAAAAAAAAACACATCAATCTATTGAGTAGTTCAAATGAGTAGTAGATACAATGATTGACGGCTGTCACATTTTTAAAAATACCGCCGTCCAATTTAATTACGAAATCGGTTAAGTTATTGCTTAGAATGTCAAAGAGGACACTTTGAACATTTATTGTAGTTGTTTTCGCTATTTATTTTCTTATTTTCTTCGTTTATGTATTGAATATATCAAATTAGTACAATACCAGGTGCACATGACCTACAAATAATTGAAGGTTGGTTCACAATGAGTTGTGGTGTCAGTGCGTGGCCTGTGAGGTCAAGTTATCGTAAGTTTAAGAAAAATGTTTCCTAATGTTGCTATGGCCTCACATGGCTTCTTAAAAAAAATCTTACCGAGTGCTCTTCATCATAAAGACTATAGAGTCGCTGTTCATAGTCACACAAGTTGCGCGATTTGGGAATGTGAACCGCGCACACCTCATAGATTGATGTGTTTTTTTTTAAAATCGAACATAGGGAAATTACATTGCATGCAAACTCCTATGTTCGCATTTAAAAAAACTCACTGTATAAGGGAACCGTTTACTTGCCCCCCCCCCTCCCACTGAGAGATTTGATAGTCGTATTATTTTAAAATGAATGCGCTCCTATGCGCTCCTATGCGCCACCGATAATAACTCTTACGCCATTATCGTTGTTTAGAAATCCGAAAAAACATGGGGGGCGGGGGCAAGTGAACGTACCCCCCAATACGCATTTTGTCGCTTGTAACTAGGTCACCTGGTGATACATTTTGGATATGCGCTGAATTGCGCCATAAAAATTTTTTAAAAAGTGGGGAGGGGGCCAACTTAACGTTTTCAAAAGTTACGTTTTTTAACATATTTTTTCTACTACATCGTACCTTTTATCATGCGTTAAAATGTGCCGTAAACAAAAATCTTTGATGGTTAAAGTATGCGATATGTTCGCCTTTAATAGAAGAATCTTCGGTTAAAATTTAAAAAAATATCTATAAATGTAAGTTGACATTGCGCAGTTCGCGCATGCGCCCATCTGATTTTGACAATATACACTATGCTGGGCTTTACTAGAACTATCTGTGCTTAAACTTTCAAAGAAATATCTCTATAAATAAGAAAATTGACATTGCACCGTTTACGCATGCGCATATCTGATTTTCTATCCATTGCGCATGCGCAGATTAATCGTCAAGATTTTTCTTGGTTGAGGTGCCAAAGCTATTAGCTACCGAATGCAAAAGGAACAAACCAAATATCTTGAAAACTGTAGTAGTTAAGGCCTTGGATAGACGGACGGACGGAGAAACTGGCCATATCTCGGTTTTTGTGACATGTCATCGGAAATAATCGGAATTTAATTTGACCATCGTCATATCTTGTATAATTTTGGATGTGTAAGTATATCTTGGGCACAGTGTATAGGTACTGCAAAGGGGTCCTAAAAGGCGCAAACATTTCTGTTTACGGCGGATTTAAACGCATGGTGAAAGGTACAAGGTAGTACAAAAAAACATGTTAAAAACGTAACTTTTGAAAACGCTAAGTTAACCCCTCCAGTTTTTAAAAATTTTTTTATGGCTTAACCGTAATGGCGCTAGCTTTAATTCAAGTGGCTCAATTGAGCGCATAACCAAATGTATCAGGTGACCTAGTTACAAGCGACAAAATACGTACTGGGGGGGGGGGGGCCCCCTCCCCTCCCCCCCCCCCCCCCCCCCCAATGTTTTTTCGGATTTCTAAAAAACGATAATGGCGCAAGAGTTATTATCGGTGGCGCATATGAGGGCATAACGAGCGCAATCATTTTCAAATAATACGATTATCAAATCTCTCAGTGGCGGGGGGAGAGGTAACGGACCCAAATTTAACATGGGCTGATCCATCTGTAGTACCTACATTTAAAGCTGTGATTGTATCCAGTTGGTCCGGAAAAGACAGTAGAGATCCAAGATTGGCCTGCAAATGGATTTGAAAACATCGTATCTCAAATCTTATTGGCCGCAATGGGATTCTATTATTAGAGACAAGGGGAAAGAAAACAGCTCTTGGTTCCTAGAAAGAAAGTTACAGAAGTGTTGAGGGAGCTACAAGATGGGACGGGGTTAAGAGAATTCATAGCTGGAACATTCCCAGAAAGTGACGGAGGAAACAAGTACATTACGGTTGTGATGGACTAGTTTTGCAAATCGGTAGAGATATACGCTTGGCCACCGTTGAGGAGGTTTTTATGAGGGGATGGATTCGTCGATTTAGAGGGCAGAAATCTTGTTGTTCCAAGACACCTCCATTGCACCCATAATCCGGTGGATTCCTGACCTCAAGTTTAGATGAAAACTTGGAGAGCGCATCGCAGGTGATGATGAATATATATATATCACGATAGGGTAGGTACATAAGAACATGGAAAGGGTCAGGGACCGTGTAAAAGTGTAGAAGACCAATGTATGTTTTGGGCCAGGAAGTGTCGTCACACCAATCAGAGACGAGGTCGTAACGTCACAGCCACAGCCCTCCCGGGCCACGCCCTTTCAGATTCGTGAAGCGGTCCAACAGATTTGAGAACCGGTGCCAGTCCAAACAGCTGTTGAACCTGTTGGAAAAGCTGTTGGATCGCATTACGAAGCTTTTGGGTCAGTTGAAAAATCTGTTGGGCCGCTTCACGAACCAGAAAGGGCGTGGCGTAGGAGGGCTACGACTGTGACGTCACGATCTCGTCTCGGATTAGCGTGACGTCACTTTCTGGTCTAGAACATACATTGATCTTCCACTAATAACTCAAATACTAGTTCTGGAAGTAATGAACAGAAACAGAATCTTTGGGAAATTGAAAACACTCCACTTAATTCATAACGATAGACGAATATAAGAGAAAAAGGCACTCACATGTTCTAAGCATAGCAATACGGTTGTATATGCAACAGTGACAGTTGCCGCGTCTTCCACGGACCAATCGTCTGGTACAGTTACCATCATGGAAGGATTGGCCAATACCAAAGTCGAAAACGCTCCATCTCGAACCATTCCAAACACACGTTCGCCACTACAACACGTCATCAAGCTCGCGCCCCACCAAGCGTTAAAACTAACCTAGAAAGCCTTCCTGAAAATTCCACACCCTGCACTATTTGCTGCGCCAAACGATCCGTGGAGTAGACGTCGGCGCTGATTCGTCCCGATGCCGTCAAAATGTCACGGAAATTTAGCGCGGCGTAATCGACCTAAACTTAATGTTACAAAACCGTTGCGCGACGACGTCCCACTTACGTTAACCAAATGGTGACCGGCTGGAAGCGGATCGTTGCCCTTCAGGGGCCCTTCGGACCATATCAGGCTGGAAAGGTCGCCCACTGTGAGCGCGTGGGTAAATACGTGTTCGCGCAGAATCGGCTTAGGGCTTGTTACTGGCAGATGGCGGTAAGTACCCCACCTCCCGCCCTTGTAGACGTTCACAGTTAAGCCCTTTTTTAATTGCGTGACGTAAAACGGGTCGTTCACGTCAAATTTGGGCGTATCGTCCGCGATATACATGCAACGCACTTTTTCGGGGTGAGGTTCCATTTTTAGACAATTGAATAGGCCCAGTACTCCGGTGGTCGAGTCGTTTTGAGCGACTAGCATGACGTTCTTGTTGTCTTTGACGAGCCCTTGCAGAGTTGGCAACCAGGTGAAATTGGCAACGTTGTCTAAGTCGACGATTGTGAGACTTCCGGTTGGCTTCCGCTTTTGCAGTAAGACCAAGGTTTCGGCTTCCGTCTCATAGACGCTTATCATCTCAACGTCTGGTACACCGTCGGGATCCTGGTGGAAACCTACACCTTCCCTTGATAATACAAAGCCGCCGCCCTTTAACGCCATCAACGCCTCTTCAAGAAGCTAAAAAGAATCACGTTACAGTACCCCTGTGGTTTACTAAAATGGTACCTGAGGGCTTCGAAGTGCGTTTGCTACTATCACCAGCAAGTGATCGTTGGGCCCTTCCGCGAGTTTCTGGTCTCTCACGTCGATTGCATCAAATGCGAGATCTCGACTTGAGAGTACAACCAAATTGGGTTGAATAAGCGGTTCGTCTCCGAGTACCTGTTGAAGAATCGGAGTAATCGGTTCCGAAGACCGAGAGTCCTCCACCACTTCCACGCAATTAAATGTGAGTTGTCTCGAGTTTTCAATGACAATTTGAGTATTCACCCTCACTGCTTCGACCAAATTTAAACTCCCTTTGAAAGGTACAAATTTGTACGTTTCCAAAACCGGCTCGTCCAATACCTTTCGTTTGGTGATGGGGCTTGTTCTCAGTCCTTTTATTTCGACGCCTCCGGCTCTGAAAAAGAAGAGCGCTAGGTGGAAACTCTACGAGAGCAGCACTCACCTAACGGTATTGGATTGGGCGCATAGGTACACCGGTACCTTTCCGTCGGATAGAAACCTCTGGTGCAGGTCCTGATTGATGATTATCCGTTCGATGTAGGTCGGAACATAAAGACTTCTTGTGTCCTTCTCGAGTATCTTGACCTGCAGCATATTGTCCATGAAAGTGGTCCAATTATCCGCCCATTCGATCAGTCCATTAGTTAAGTCCAAGGCGCATGAATCTACACAGCGGAATAATCCGCTGAAACGTACACATTTGCTAGACCCTTAAAGTTGTACAGCACAGTTACTAAAAGCACTAAGGACGTTGTGGCTCTTCGTACTTTACAATGAAATGAAAATGCTAGTAAATGTTAAACAAGTAACGCCTGTTCCGGTGGATTAACTTGAGCAAGTTAAAGAAGGACACTGAGATTGGGACGTGTGCGCTATAGTTACGCGTTGTGTGAATTCAACCAAGAGGACCAAGCTAAAAGGTTAATTTGCCGCTACCAAGACGTGTTCCATTCAGAGAAGAGACCCGTCGAACGAAAGCAACAGATAATATCAATACGGACAATGTTCAACTTATTAAGAGGACTGCCATGGGTCAAACACGACGAAACTATGAAGATCATCAGCGGCATGGACAGTCAAAGAATAATCGAACCACCCTCAGCTGGATTTTTAACAAAACCTTTTAGAACCTTCTTGAATCGATATTTTTCCAGTGTTATATTTTTGAAAAGAGGATTTAATATGTTATCTTTAGATTAAAATATATAGGGTGTGCTATTTAAATAAATGAGGTTGGATCCAATAACGTTTTTACCCGATGCTGTATATTTAATTTGAAAACGGTAGATAACGCCTGTAAAAGTGTCGAAAATGGGACACCCTGTACATTAAAGACTATTGTAAGGTTCCAAAATGAAATTTTTTGAATGTTTAAGAAATCCTTTTTGAACCTTTTTGAATCGATATTTTTCCAGTGTAATATTTTAGAAAAGAGAATGTAATATGCTATTTTTAGATTAAAATATACAGGGTGTGCGCTTAAAAAAATGAGGTTGGGTCCAATAACTTTTTTACCCGATGCTGTATATTTAGTTGGAAACGGTAGAAACGCCTGTAAAAGTGTCGAAAATGGGACACCTTGTACATCAAAGACTATGTAAAATTCAAAAATGCAATTTTTTGAATCTTTAAGAAATCCTTTTTGAACATTTTTGAATCGATATTTTTCCAGCGTTATATTTTTGAAGAGAACTCAATATGCTATTTTTAGATTAAAATATATAGGGTGTGCTATTTAAATAAATGAGGTTGGATCCAATAACGTTTTTACCCGATGCTGTATATTTAATTTGAAAACGGTAGATAACGCCTGTAAAAGTGTCAAAAATGAGGCACCCTGTACATCAGAGACTATTGTAAAATTCCAAAGTGAAATTTTTTGAATTTTTAAGAAATCTTTTTTGAACCCTTTTGAATCGACATTTTTCCAGTGCTATATTTTTGAAAAGAGAATACAATATGCTATTTTTAGAGTAAAATATACAGGATGTGCCATTAGAAAAAATGAGGTTAGATCCAATAACATTTTTACCCGATGCTGTACCTATATTTATTTTGAAAATGGCAGATAACGCCTATAAAAGTGTCGAAAATGGGACAATAAAAGACTATGTAAAATTCCAAAATGAAATTTGTTGAATTTTTAAAAAATCCTTTTTGAACCTTTTTGAATCGACATTTTTCCAGTGTTATATTTTTGAAAAGAGAATGTAATATGATATTTTTAGATTAAAATATACAAGGTGTGCAATTTAAAAAAAATGAGGTTAGATCCAATAACTTTTTTACCCGACACTGTATATTTATTTGCGAAACGGCATATAACGCCTATAAAAGTGTCGAAAATGGGAGACCCTGTACATCAAAGACTGTAAAATTCCACAATGCAATTTTTTGAATTTCTAAGAAATCATTTTTGAACCTTTTTGAATCGATATTTTTCCAGTGTTGTATTTTTGAAGAGAACTTAATATGCTATTTTTAGATTAAAATATACAGGGCGTGTTATTTAAAAACAATGAGGTTGGATCCAATACCTTTTTTACCCGATGCTGTATATTTATTAGGAAACGGCAGATAACGCCTGCAAAGTGTCAAAAATGGGACACCCTGTGCATCAACGACTATGTAAAATTCCAAAATGGAATTTTTTGAATCTTTAAGAAATCCGTTTTGAACCTTTTTGAATCGATATTATTCCAGTGTTATATTTTTGAAAAGAAAATTTAATACGCTGTTTTTAGATTAAAATATACAAAGCGTGCTATTAAAAAAAATGAGGTTAGATCCAATAACTTTTTTACTCGGTGCTGTATATTTATTTTGAAAACGGCAAATAACTCCTGTAAAAGTCAAAAATGGGACACCCTGTACATCAAAGAGTATTGTAAGATTCCAAAATGAAATTTTTTGAATTTTTAAGAAATCCTATTTGAACCTTTTTGAATCGATATTTTTCCAGTGTTGTATTTTTGAAGAGAACTTAATATGCTATTTTTAGATTAAAATATACAGGGCGTGTTATTTAAAAACAATGAGGTTGTATCCAATACCTTTTTTTTACCCGATGCTGTATATTTATTAGGAAACGGCAGAAAGCTGGTAAAAGTGTCCGGAAAAATGGGACACCTTGTACATCAAAGAACATGTAAAATTCAAAATAAATGCAATTTTTTGAATCTAAGAAAATCCTTTTTTGAACATTTTTGAATCGATTATTTTTCCAGCGTTAATTTTTGAAAGAATCAATATGCTTTTTTTAGATTAAAAATTATATAGGGTGTGCTATTTAAATAAATGAGGGTTGGATCCCAATAACGTTTTTAACCCGATGCTGTATATTTAATTTGAAAACGGTAGATAACGCCTTAAAAGTTCAAAAATTGAGGCACCCTGTTACATCCAGAACTATTGTAAAATTCCAAAGTCGAAATTTTTTGAATTTTTTAAGAGAATCTTTTTTGAACCCTTTTTGAATCGACATTTTCCAGTTGCTATAATTTTTTGAAAAGAGGAATACAATATGCCATTTTTAGAGTAAATATACAGGATGTGCATTAGAAAAAATGCAGGTTAGAATCCAATAACATTTTTACCCATGCTGTACCTAAATTTTTATTTTGAAAATGGCAGATAACGCCTATAAAAGTTTCGAAATGGGAACAATTAAAAGACTATCGTAAAAATTCCAAAATGAAAGTTGTTTGAAATTTTTTAAAAAAATCCTTTTTGAACCTTTTGAATACGAATTTTTTCCAGTGGTATATTTTTGAAAAGAGAATTGTAAATATGATATTTTTAGATTAACAATATACAAGGTGTGGCAATTTAAAAAATGAGGTTAATCCAATAACTTTTTTACCCGACACTGATATTTTATGTGCGAAACGGCATTATAACGGCCTATTAAAAGTGTCGAAATGGGAGACCCTGCTACATCCAAGACTGTAAAATTCCACTAATCAATTTTTTGAATTTCTAAGAATCATTTTTGAACCTTTTTTGAATTCGATATTTTTTCCAGATGTTGTATTTTTTGAAAGAGAACTTTAATATGCTCATTTTTAGATTAAAATATACAGGGCGTGTTATTTAAAAACAATGAGGTTGGATCCAATACCTTTTTTACCCGATGCTGTATATTTATTAGGAAACGGCAGATAACGCCTGCAAAGTGTCAAAAATGGGACACCCTGTGCATCAACGACTATGTAAAATTCCAAAATGGAATTTTTTGAATCTTTAAGAAATCCGTTTTGAACCTTTTTGAATCGATATTATTCCAGTGTTATATTTTTGAAAAGAAAATTTAATACGCTGTTTTTAGATTAAAATATACAAAGCGTGCTATTAAAAAAAATGAGGTTAGATCCAATAACTTTTTTACTCGGTGCTGTATATTTATTTTGAAAACGGCAAATAACTCCTGTAAAAGTCAAAAATGGGACACCCTGTACATCAAAGAGTATTGTAAGATTCCAAAATGAAATTTTTTGAATTTTTAAGAAATCCTATTTGAACCTTTTTGAATCGATATTTTTCCAGTGTTGTATTTTTGAAGAGAACTTAATATGCTATTTTTAGATTAAAATATACAGGGCGTGTTATTTAAAAACAATGAGGTTGTATCCAATACCTTTTTTTTACCCGATGCTGTATATTTATTAGGAAACGGCAGATAACGCCTGCAAAGTGTCAAAAATGGGACACCCTGTACATCAACGACTATGTAAAATTCCAAAATGGAATTTTTTGAATCTTTAAGAAATCCGTTTTGAACCTTTTTGAATCGATATTATTCCAGTGTTATATTTTTGAAAAGAAAATTTAATACGCTGTTTTTAGATTAAAATATACAAAGCGTGCTATTAAAAAAAAATGAGGTTAGATCCAATAACTTTTTTACTCGGTGCTGTATATTTATTTTGAAAACGGCAGATAACGCCTGTAAGTGTTAAAAATGGGACACCCTGTACATTAAAGACTATTGTAAGGTTCCAAAATGAAATTTTTTGAATGTTTAAGAAATCCTTTTTGAACCTTTTTGAATCGATATTTTTCCAGTGTAATATTTTAGAAAAGAGAATGTAATATGCTATTTTTAGATTAAAATATACAGGGTGTGCGCTTAAAAAAATGAGGTTGGGTCCAATAACTTTTTTACCCGATGCTGTATATTTAGTTGGAAACGGTAGAAACGCCTGTAAAAGTGTCGAAAATGGGACACCCTGTACATCAAAGACTATGTAAAATTCCAAATAGAAATTTTTGGACTTTTTAAGAAATCCTTTCTACCCTTTTTGAATCGATAGTTTTCCAATGCTATATTTTTGAAAAAGAATTTAATATGCTATTTTTAGATTAAAATATACAGGATGTGCCATTAAAAAAATGAGGTTAGATTCGATAACTTTTTTACCCAATGCTGTATATTTATTTTGAAAACGGCAGATAACGCCTACAAAAGTGTCGAAAATGGGACACCCTGTACATCAAAACAAAAAAATTCCTAGAATAACAAAGAATAGAACCGAAAAACGGGGAAGAAGGGAAAAAGGCAAAGAACGCTAAGAGAAGACATGATAAAGCATACGAAAAGGCGATAATGGAAACAAAGTATACTAGCCAGAAAACAAAGACGAAGAAGAAGGCACAATGAAGATGAAACTACCAAAAAGATAAAGAAGAAAAAGGAAAAAAGACAATGAAGAGGATGAAAAGGCGAGAAAAAAGACGAGCAAATTGCGAAGAAAAAGCGAGAAAGAAGACGAAGGAAAAGGCGCGAATAAACGAAAAACATGGCAGACAAGGCAGACGGGAAAGGAAACGAAGGAGACAAAGGGGATGAAGGAGACCGGGTAAGCGAAAAAGTTGAAAAAAGTAAAATTACAAAAAAGACTCCCACAAAACCACCTTCCTGACCACTCTCATTACAGTTTTAAGTAAAACGCTACCAACGGGGGGGGTCTGGGGGGTGTGGAATACCCCCTAGAACAAGAAGACTTTATACGAACGATATGTAAAGTAGGTAGTAAACGAGGTGAAAAAGGTGAAGGCGAGCAACGGGACAAGGAGGCTGGAAAGCTGAAGAATACAATGTCAATGAAGGGGAAGAAATGCTCAAAAGGAGTAGGTTATAAGGGCAAAAGAGAAGGATACACGAATGGGGTGAATGGGGTGGGGTGTACCACAAAGACGATAAAGATTATTGGTATGAAAAATCAGATAGAGAAGGATAAAGGAGGCGAATAAAAAGGAAGTAAAAATAGTGAAAGTAGTCTAATTAAAAGACGAGCAAGGAGACGATGAAAAATATATAAAAAAGGAAAAAGACAAAGAAGTGAGAAATCGAGAAAACGAAAAAGAGAACGAAGGAAAAGTCAATGAAAGGACAATATAGGAGAGAAAGAAGTAAAGGAGGGGAAAGACGGGAAACAAACAAAAAGAGAAGAAGACGGAGATGGCAATGAAGGAGAACCGATTATGATGAGCTGACTAAAATGGTAAGGCAAAAAATGAGAGAGAGCACAGGAAATATGAGAAAAAAGTTTCGATGAAGCGAAAAAGACGAAGAAAAAAAAACGAGAAAAAGACAAAGCAAAAGAGGTGAAAACGAATAAGGCGAAACAGACAAAGAATAAAAAAAGGTACGAGAATAAAAAATATTACAAAGAAGTCAAGGAGAAGACAGTGAAGTACACGAAAGGCAAGGAAGACGACGCAAACGATGAAAATGGGGAGAACGAGGAGAACCACGAAGGAAAAAAAGATACGATAGTGGCAATGGAAGACATGAAAATGAAGAACATGCGACGAAGACTACGAAAAAGACCGAAGTTTGCTATATAAGCAAATCGAATTGTGTTTCGAGTCAGTTCCAACATCGATGCGCTTCAGTTATGTTATAAATTGTAAGTGATAAATAATTATTACTGAGTTATAGTTAATTGTAAATAAATTACAATACGTTAATTACCTGAAATTGTAACCTCTCAGTTGGAGTTCCTTATAAATATCATTTTTGTCCAATCGTAGTTCGTTCTTTACGGTGATCGAGATTGGAGCGCATGACATGGGAGGATCAATTTCGCTTAACGTACGAATCCTGCCGGTCATAAGGACACGATCCGATTGCGATACCTGCGAGTTGAAAGTAAAATCAATCAATAAATTCTCGAAGATTAAAGTACTCGGCCCCCAAGGGCCAGTAATGTGTCATTTTCCTGACTTATGTAAATATTGAGTTCGTAACGTGGAAAGGTGACGTTTAGACACGGTTTGGTAATCACCTCAAAATCCCCAGTTGATTTCTGAAGTGACACAAACAATTTTACTCCGTCCTCCTCCGAAAACTGTGTCGCCCTTTGAAAATGGACATCTTCAAAGACTATACGCAAATCTAGCGTTCCTCGCTTCTGCAATTCGACGTAGATATCCCAAACCATCTTCAGGTACGCGGTCGCCGGTATGAGGTAACGACCTAAATGCCATGGTTTTTAAGAGGAAATAAAATAAGGCACGTACCATCAATGAGGTGTCCAGTTATAAACTGCCAATTTTTATTTTTAGCTTTCACAACAACCGGGCATCCGTTGGCGTGCGCGTTTTCCTTGGGGCTAGAGAGCGCCACAAACCAATCGTCTTCATGGTTCCACTTAATCAATGGCGAAATTGACGGAGTACGCGCGCTGATTGGCCAAGAAATCGGGGGATACAATTCGGATATTTTCGCGTTATACCCACGCTCGTAGAGTTTTCCCAAAGTGACGAGAAAATGTTGATCTGGTTCCATTCTTAACTGCATCTCTGTCGAAACGTGTCCGAAATGGTTTTTCTCGGCGTGCAAAATGAAACCGTCAAGCTTCGAGGTGAGATTTTGAACGGGAGTGAACATAGAAGAAATTAAGGACTCTGGAGAGAAATTCCTGTTGGATTCGTTGTGAGCCGCAATCCATTTCGACGATCTTTTCTTGGGAAAGCGTACCAACGGCTTTAGACTGTTCTTCAAGTTTGAAACTGAAACAAACGCGTACAACTTTCCAGTAATTTCGATCGGACTCACTTAACATCTGTTGGTTTTTGACCAGGGCGATGGAATTGTCGCCCACCTCTTCAATATTCATGCTTCGCTTTTCACGCACCTTTTCTGTTAAGCCTGATTTTTTACAAGGGTGTTCGATGTTTTTTAAACCATTGGGGAGTATTGCAGGTGTCTGAAAAACTTGCGTTTAAGTAAAATGCGATTAGTGAAACAAATTTACATTTTCGTTGTTGTTAGCGAACTTTCTAAGGCTTTCGGCTAAGTGAAAACCAAGAGCGACCGCTTCTTCCAAGCTCAAGGAATCGGTCATGTAACCTGCGGCAATCTCCCCGGTAGAATACCCTACGACGTGGGCCACGTCCAACTTCAGGCACCTCAAAAGTTCTGCCAAAATCAACTGACTCAGCACCGTTCCAAGTACCAAATCAGCTTGGGAATCGTTCCATCCGTTGTCCAAAAAGTCGGTTAGTTCAGGTGTAGAAAAATTCAACTCGGCTTGAATCCTATGAGGAGTATAGAGGAATATGGACGAAACTTGTCAGCCTACCGTTTTAGTGTCAAAGCGCCGATTGGAAATTTCAGAAGTGACTGACAATGTTGGAGCAATGTTGAGTTAGGGCCACCAAATAGTAAGCAGAGGGGAGCTTTTTTCATACCGTTGTAGCTCCTTGATCGTTCCATAATCGCTGACTTTGTCACTATTGCAAACCCTCGATGCAGGTGGCCATCCATTGGTTTACTGGAAGATAGTTCTTAATGGAGGCGTTTCCCCACTGAGCATTACCTAAAGATTTCGTGCAACAATCGTACAAACTCCGCATCCAGTTCCCTTCGCTCCAAATCGGCAATGAACGCGTCGACGCCCTCCCCGGTACGTCCACTGAAGCACACCAGCCTAGGCAAATCATCCTCGGGAATTCCGCCATTGACCTTCACCTTCGTATGACGCTCCAAGAGAACGTGAGCGTTGGCACCCCCAAATCCAAAGTTGTTAACGGCCGCCAATCCCGTCCCATCCTCGGGCCAGGGCATCACGTCGGTCGCGACGGCCATTCGACCCGCCACGAACGCTTCGTAGTTGGTTTTCGAAAAGTTAATGTTTGGCAGAAAACTGTCCGCTTCCATGCTCAAAAGTATCTAGGCAAAGGACGTTATTGTCTATTCGAACCATTGCTGGTCTCACCTTGGCGACGGCACAAAAACCTGACGCTCCCTCAGTGTGCCCATTGTTGGACTTGACAGAACCCACATGAAGAGGCCTTTGGCGTGAGGTGCAAAACATGGAGTCAATGACGGAAATTTCTACGGGGTCTCCTACTTTTGTACCTATAAACAGTGGAGAGTCTATGTACTACAAGAAAAATAGGAGGATAATTTCCTATTTTGAACCCTTTTATCCGAGCTAGCCGCATAAACGCAGGTACGGAAAAATTGGGAGCTATATTGGCAGAAAGATCCCTGAATTGCAAGCTTCATCATATTGGTTTTTGGACAAACCCTCACTGCACACCCCGTAGCTCCACATTTATAACAATGTTGGGTTCGGGGCATTCAATTCGAGCATGACCTAATTTTTGACAGTTCAAGCATGCCTACAGCATGAACTAGTGTACGCTGTTGGGCAATTTTAATTAATTAACACATGTTTGCCGTACTTGGAGTTTTGGAAATTTTTTTTCTTAATTAGACTTTATGTTTCATTAATTAAAGTCAATTAATCAGCAGTCTAATTAATGAAATACCGAATAATCACGGTTCTTAAATACATTGGAATTTATTTGCGGTAATTTTTAATTAATTAAAAGCACTTGGGGATCCCAGATAATGATCTTCGTTTTATAATGAGAAGTGTTCAGCATCCTACATCCAAAATTGTAAGGGACACACCCCCTTTGTACTTACCGTTAATTAATTGGTAGTTCTAAATTTGGATTAATTTTTTTGACATTTAGAGAGATAGGTCAAGTTGAAATTTTGTGGAGATTCAAGAGTTAGAGCATTAAATATCTTAGACAATTTACAGGGTGTCAGTATTTATTTATTTACGTGGCTAGTGACATCTTAAGACTAAATCTGTAAGCATTTGGTGGAAATGGAAATTGTCTTTCCGGCATCTTTTAATTTCTGTAAAGCATTGCTTTCATAGTGGATGTCTGGAGACTAGGGTGGGTGTCTTAATTGGCTTTATCCACTCCAAACTACTGACTAAGCAATTTCAGAAGTAGGTGGAATTTGATTTCCGGCCCTATCTCTTATTTGATTCGTAGCGAATCAATGACTAAAGATGTCCGATTTATTAATAAGAAGTTATTTTGTAGGAGTTCATTAATCAGTAAGAAATGAAGGGAGAGGGACATTCATTCGGTGCCGGGAAGACGACGCACAGGCACAGCCTTCACGTTGACTTCACTCTAAGAGCTATGTCGAACCTGCTGATCTGATGACAAGGACAAGCACAGTCACATCGTGGAACGACGGCGCCACTCTTCTACAGAAGACCTATGGACTATAGAAACTGCCCCACAAGGTACTTCGAGGGCTATTTGAGACGGAAACGGGAACAGGGCCCCAGCAGCCCGACCGAATGGTTCATTTCAAGAAAGCAGTCCGACGCGATGTGGTGTACGGCTTGCTACACCGACGGATCAGAAAGAGGATGGGCCGTCGCGAGCTTGGAAAGATCGAAAACGATGGTTTTCCTGCGACACCCAAGGTTCCGGAAGCCCCGCAAGAACACGCGTTGTTTCTTCTGCAAGGCTAATTTAAAACTTTGTGCTCATCAGGTTAATGAGTAATTCAACTCTTTCTGAAGACACCTCAACTTCACGCTGGAGTGTGAACCTCGATATTTTGAAAACTTTCTTTTACTATAATTTTGTGATCATTTTGTGCTAATTTGTGGTGCTAATTAAAAATTGTGTGCTCATCAGGTTAATGAGTAATTCAACTTTTTCCGATGACACTCCAACTTCACGCTGAAGTGTCAACATCGATATTTTCAAAATTTTCGTTTACTATAACTTTGTGCTCATTTTGTGCTAATTTGTGCTGCTAATTAAAAATAGTGTGCTCATCAGGTTAATGAGTAATTCAACTCTTTCTGATGACACTCCAACTTCACGCTGGAGTGTGAACCTCGATATTTTGAAAACTTTTTTTTACTATAATTTTGTGCTCATTTTGTGCTAATTTGTGCTGCTAATTAAAAATTGTGTGCTCATCAGGTTAATGAGTAATTCAACTTTTTCAGGTGACACTCCCACTTCACGCTGGAGTGTCAACATCAATATTTTCAAAATTTTCTTTTACTATAATTTTGTGCTCATTTTGTGCTAATTTGTGCTGCTAATTAAAAATTGTGTGCTTATCAGGTTAATGAATAATTCAACTTTCTCAGATGACACTCCAACTTCACGCTTTCACGCTGGAGTGTCAACCTTGATATTTTAAAGATTTTCTTTTACTATAATTTTGTGCTAATTTGTGCTGCTAGTTAGAAATTGTGTTCTTATCAGGTTAATGAGTAATTCAATTTTTTCAGATGACACTCCAACTTCACGCTGGAGTGTCAACCTCGATATTTTCAAAACTTTCTTTTACTATAATTTTGTGCTCATTTTGTGCTAATTTGTGCCGCTAATTAAAAATTGTGTGCTCATCAGGTTAATGAGTAATTCAACTTTTCAGATGACACTCCAACTTCACGCTGGAGTGTCAACCTCGATATTTTCAAAACTTTCTTTTACGTAAATTTTGTGCTCATTTTGTGCTAATTTGTGCTGATAATTAAAAATTGGGTGCTCATCAGGTTAATGAGCAATTCGACTTTTTCTGATGACACTCCAACTTCACGCTGGAGTGTCAACCTCGATATTTTCAAAATTTCCTTTTACTATAATTTTGTGCTCATTTTGTGCTAATTTGTGCTGCTAATTAAAAATTGTGTGCTCATCAGGTTCATGAGCAATTCGACTTTTTCTGATGACTCCAACTTCACGCTGGAGTGTCAACCTCGATATTTTCAAAATTTTCTTTTACTATAATTTTGTGCTCATTTTGTGCTAATTTGTACTGCTAATTAAAAATTGTGTGCTCATCAGGTTAATGAGCAATTCGACTTTTTCAGAGAACACTCCAACTTCACGCTGGAGTATATTATATACAGGGTTAGTCAAAAGTATGGAATATACCTTATACCTTCGTTAATATGCATTGTACAGGGTGGCCAACTAAGAATGCGAGGTACTGTATCTGAGAATCTATCCATCGTAGAGGCTTGCGGTAAAAAAATTTATTACTAAAACGGCCACGAGCAAAACCTGGAAAATATTTTTAAGTTTCTGAAATGACCGCTAGGGGGCGTAACTGCAATCTGGAATCTAAAAAAGTGATGTTTCTGTTATTAACCTAACAAAAAAATGTCCGGTTTTTGAAGTTGACGATAATCTGAACAATTTTTGTTTTGACAATTTTTCCTGTATCTCTAAAAATGAAGTGGTGGGGGGTATTCAAAGGTTTCCGTAAAGAACACCCTGTATCTTCGAAACGGCTGAGCCGATTTAAACAAACTCGGGTTAGTTCAAAAGAGCTATTCTTCAGCTACAAATATTATACTATTTGAAGTTTTGTTAATTTTACATATCACTGCTGGAGGGCTTTTTTCGACATTCCGACAGAGACTGAAAAATTAGCTTAAAAAAATAAAATTTTGAGGGTATAAAATTTTCTTTGCCCTAAATTTTAGGTTAGGAACAAGATATCGAGATGCGGTTTTCGCGAGCTTGTAGCCGAAGAATAACTCTTTTCAATTAACCCGAGTTTGTTAAAATCGGCTGAACCGTTTCGAAGATACAAGGTGTTCTTTACGGAAACTTTTGAATACCCCCCTCTATTTCATTTTTAGAGATACAGGAAAAATTGTCAAACAAAAACTTCGACTTCAAAGACCGGACATTTTTTTGTTAGGTTAATATAGCGGAATTCACAGAAACATCACTTTTTTAGATTCCAGATTGCAGTTACGCCCCCTAGCGGCCATTGCAAAAACTTTTTATATTTTCCTGGTTTTTCTCGTGGCCATTTTAGTAATAAATTTTTTTACCGCAAGCCTCTACGATGGACAGGTTCCCAGATACAGTACCTCGCATTCTTATTTGGCCACCCTGTACAGTAAAATATTTTACCTATTAATATGAAAGTGAAATGGGAAATTTGTCCGTATACTCATTTCGTTAATAATTAAACGATTTAAAGTAATATAAAACCACTTCCAGAATACTATAGCTTGAAGTTGGAGTGGTCATCAGAAAAAGTTGAATTACTCCTTAATCTGATGAGTACAAAATTTTTAATTAGCAGTACAAATTAGCACAAAATAAGCACAAAATTATGAGATACTTGGAACTTAATTCCTTTCAAGTCGGCACTCTAACTTCACGGACCCGACATTAACTCCCTTCCATGGATCAGGAGACCAATCAACTCCATTCACACTACCCATTCGGAGAAGAGGCCGCTCAAATAAGACACCCGCATCAGCATATGAACTGGGACCGAAACGTGTTCCACTTTAGCAAAGGAAGATTGTTACGGCTCCGATTAAAGAGACATCTGACGGCCATTCAAATTAGATTCACCTTCAGCTTACCTGGAGCATGCGCTTCCACGAAATCGACACTTGAGGGTTGAATCCCACATTCGCGATACAATGCTACCAACAGTGCTTTTTGTTCGTCCCCCGAAGGAACCGAAATTCCCTGCTCTTTGTGCCCGTCACAGTTCGCTTTTGCGTTAATTATCTGAAACCAAAGTTACACGCACTGGTCACGTTTTTAAATTGGAAAACCTTGGCATAAACGCGTCTCGCCGCCTTTAAATTTTGTACGAATAGGGTACCAACCGCTTCGGATCGTACGTATCCATTTGCAGCTTCATCAAACGACTTGCAACGGCCGTCTCCGTTCAGTACCCCCAATCTGCAAGTAGCACCAATTACATGACCGCCAATTAACGTCTGCATACGAACCTGGAGAACTCTAACGTATTCTTTGGTTTCAGGCAGAGATGTCCAGCTGCGACAATCGCCGCGTCACATTTCCCCAGTCGGATCGCGGCAAATGCGTGCTCGATGGCCGTTAGGGAGCTGCTACACGCGCTATCGATGGAAACGGATGGCCCCTCGAGTTGCAAAATATGGCTGATCCAGCTACAATGCATCGATCGGGTGCAACTAGAAGTTTGGGTTTTAAATTCCATCGTTACGACTTAGCCTATACCCTGTCCCTACGAAATTGGGCGACGTCAAGTTTGGACCAATCAACAACTCGTCCGCCTCCGACTCGCTCATTCCGACGAAAACGCCAGTCCGCGTTCCTTTCAGCTCTTCGGGATGATATCCGGCGTCCAAAACAGCTTCAATTGTCCTTTCGAGTAGCATCCGAGCCAATGGATCCATGGAGTGCGCCTGCGCTCCGTGTACCCCTGCGTAAACCGATCGACTCAGATACCAACCAATCGCGCGCCGGTTGACTTACCGAAGAAACCCGAATCGAATTTTTCGATAAAGTTAATCTTTCCGCTCCGTTTGGGTATTTCGGGATGGTTCGTCACCCAACGTCTCCCATCGCAAGTCACCATGTCGACTTTGTTCGCGAGGTTAGCCCTGTATTCGTAGATGTTTGCAGATTCGGCGAAGCACCCCGCCATACCTATTGGAGGGTTAGCCCAACGGGAAGATTATGTAGATCACATTACCTGATACTACCAATTCATCTTGTTCTTCATCCGTTTGGAAACCCATACTGCTGAATAATCCAATAAATTTCAAGGTATTTTTTTGCTTTGGGCTTTCAAATTGATTGACAAAAGAATGTCGTAGTTTATTCAGCACCCAATTCACTCAACTACGTCAAACTGTTACCAGTGAGATACTAAGTAGAGCACTGGGTTTTTTTCCTAAATATAACAATGAGTTTACATTTGCATAAATATTAGGGGAACGTTTTCATTGGCAAAATTTGCGAACTTACAAATACGATTGAATTCACAAGTGTAGGTGAGAGGTCAGCTTAAGTTAAACCTTGACCTCGAGAACAAACTACTGCGAAGAAGCTCCTTTTTACCTGTAGTGCGTGTAAGATGACATCATCCTTTTTAATTTCGTAGGCGCACGTCTGGCTATTAACGTCCGCGTCAGCAGAACCGTGGGTTAAAACGGCACGTGCACTACCCTCCCCAACCCAAGGGAGAAGTTGGAGTTGGACGGCTAATATTTTCATTGCGGGTTCTTCTTACGTGCAGGGTGTCCCAAGTGGAAAGGCTGACGTCGGCATCAATCTTCTTAACGGGCCCATTGTGCCTATCCCCTTTGTTTCGCAACTAGCCTCAGACCCCGTTCCTTTCAATGAGGGATAGGACCCTGTTCAGCCTTAAGTTGCGTCACGCCCGATTCGCATTATCGGTCACGTCACGGTCAGATCACGGTGCGGTAAATTATTAAAGTGTCTATTTCTTAAAACCGATTTACATTATCGGTCAAGTCACGGTCAGAGCATGTTCATAAAATGCCAATTTCTAACCAAGAAGCATTTAATATGCTGGCGGCGACGGTTCGTGGTTGATTCGGGTAACGCAAATAGAAGATGCGGGCAGCGATGGTCGCAGCAGCAGAATAATTTACAAATTACGGCTGTTATTTTTTTATAATGCATCGTTTTCATTTGTTTAATTTTCCAAGGCCTACCTAAAAGTGTAGGGTGCTTTTCCAAACAATCTTTCGCGCCTTCGACAAATACCGAAAATACGTCAACTAAGATACAATTCAAGCATTTTAATTAATTAATTAATTAATCTCATTTTCCCAATATTTGAGGTTAGGAACGAGATTTTGAAAAACGGTTTTCACTAGTCTCTTTGGATGTTATTTGGCTACTTTTTCATAAAGAAAGAGTCATTATCATTCCATTTGATTTTTGTGATTTTTTTTAGGATTTTGGATCATAGTGTCAAAACTAGCCCCCTGGCGCAGAAGGCTTCAACTAAATTGACTATATTTTGGTTGATTCTCATTGCCCAAGGAATGCTCTTTTCAACCCTACCAAATTTGTTACAATCGGTCAAACGGTTAAGAAGTTAAAGCAGGTTATTGCAAAAACAATTGAACGCCCCACGCCATCTTTGTTTTTGAAATAGCTGAGTTTTTTTTAATGAAAATGATAGATAAACTTGTAAACGTGAAACAATGTTTTTTAGTTTATTAGGCGAAATTTAAAGAAAATGCAATTTTAAAATTTAAGATGGCAGTTACGCCCTCTGTTGGTCATTTTTAGAACTTGATAATATTTTCCAGCGATTCTTCATGACCGATTTACCCAATAATTTTCTTTACCCCTAAGTCATATGACGAACGGCTCTCGAGATATGGCCGAGGAACAATCTTATTTGGTCACCCGGTACCTACAACTACGCAACGTATCTCCAAGTAAGATTAATACTGATTTACCCAAATTTTCAACATTCCCAAATATTATTTCAAATATCTGAAAACACACATTAGACTTGGTAATAGACTGGCGTAGTTGCACTCTAATTCAGAATAAATGACGTAAAGTCTGTAAACTTGCGTCAGTTCTTGAATAGTACAGAGAAATACTCAATTATTAAAATCAAATCCGGGCGTTGACCGACATTAACACAGAAAACTTGTTAAAATCGAGAGCACTAAGCGAATCTCAGCTTTAGCCACCTCTACACAAGTCCAAATAATTTAATTAAAGAACTGGCGTAACCCTAAGCACTAACGAAACAACTCGCCATGAAAACTCATATACTGGGTCGTAATTTGGCCTCCATTAAATACACAGCTTATCGGTTACACAGTGCAGAAGTTTATTCGACAATAACCAATCGATATTGCATTGCTGTAAAAAAAAGCAGCCAGAGCCTACAAAGAAATTCGATCGATTGAAACTGACAAAAACAAACTGGATTTATTGTAATTTAAAATGTAAAAGTGGCTTCTTGGTGGTGGCTGACTTTATCGGGTACATGGAAAAACCTTTAAAAAACGGCGGCACTTATGCGATTACTCAAACTTGACCTAATGCTTGAGCTTAACTCGATCTACAACATTCACTTTTAAACCGGTAGTACGACCAACCTTTGAGCTTTGAACAACAACCAACCCTTGGACTTTGAACGGCGAGCAAACTTCGGACTTTGAGCGGCGACCCACCTTTGAACTCACTGACTTAATTTTAAAGATCACCATATCATTAACCTTTGAGACCTCTAATTAGTTTTGAAAGTCAGGAGGCGCGCGACATAACATTTGACGGCACTCAAACATGGAGGTGGGATAGCATATCTCTACTGTCTTTCTATGGCCATCGCTTGCTTTGGTGACGAGTGCAAAACATACTCAGTCTAAGACCTCACCGCCTCTTCCACAAATCGGTCGTTTATTTGGTTTTCAATGTCGTAGGGTCAGGTCAGGCTTTTCAAAAGCGCGAAAGCAACCCTAAGGCTACGTGCGGACACAGCGATAATCTCGTGATTCGACTGGGATCTTATTTACATGAAAATGTTCCAAATCGTTCAGACTTGCGTGAGAATCGCGCGATTATCGCCGTGTCCGAATGCAGCTTAAAGTGTAAAGTACATAAGGCCCCAAGGTCACTATTGAACCCATTTTTGGAGGTGAACAACCACTTTCCACGACCGATCGAAAGAGCCTTGGACTCATTTTCCGAGGAGTGAAACGGGACCTACGTTCTAAGGTCGCCTCTAAGAGGCGAATGACCTTTGAACTTCACTTTGAGCTATTCTTCCAGGTGGTGATCTGGTTGAGAACCGACCCTACACGACTATCTATAACGACGAATTAAATCTCTTAGAATACCGTTTAATCTACCAGAACTTTACAACCACCATGACAGACTGTCTTTCACCAAGAAGCTATTTTTAACGTCTGATACGTCTTAGCCTATCGGAACCTGTCTGCTGATAGGGCTCTCCGCGCCGCCTGACTATAACTGCATATGTATTGGGTCGCTGATATGTCTGGAAACAATCGATTATCGAGGAAAAAAAATAAGATAAAAAAACCTATCAAAGTCCTTGTGTGAGATCAAAGGGACTTTAGCGCATTTTTGTGTGGCAGGTCAGTGTTTTATTAGCCAGTGTTGACTCGACTATCAATAAGATCTTGTCGAAGGTTACCACATTCACTTTGTCGGTACCCACTTCCGACGTCCCGTTCACTTGCAATTTTGGCGGATTTCGCTAAAAAGCCGGCACAAAATAGTACCCAATTTTTGGATACTTCTCATAGCTCGAGCTTCTGTTGCGACGAGAGACAGTGATATGAGATCTAAGAAACTTTTGGGCCCCCAAAGTCGAATACCCCTCGAAGCGAAACAAAATTCCGCCACGCAGGAGTTGTGCGCGTTGACAAGATCTTTCGGAGACGCCTATTTGAAAATAATCGGAGAAAAACTGTAGAAGAAGATAGAAAAGAACTGAAAAGTCTCCAGCTTGGTATAACACGCTCGGGGATGGCGCCCAGATGTCGCCGACGCATTTACGCCAGCCAGTCAAAATGGGATTAAAAGCTACCTTTTTACAAATAGATTTGCAAAAATGCCTTATAAAGGTAGCTTTTAATCTCGCTCTGGCTGGCTGCCTGGCTGACTGGATGGCAGTAAATGCGGGCCCGTATTAACCTGAAGATTTTTCAGTTTTTTCCTATTTGCTTCTACAGTTTTGGTTCGATTGCTTTCAGATTGGTGTCGTTGGAAAGCTCTTGTAAACGCGCACAACTAGTTTAGTTATACAGGGTTGGTCATAAAGGCGTGGCACAACCAAAACAGCTTTTTCAAATGGAATTCCCTATATATCATTCGATATTTCAATTCTTCTTTCAATTTTAAGCAAAATTTGTAAGAAACATATACCTAAGTTCAATCGTTAACGGGTTATCGAGTTTTAAAAATAAACGCTGTTAAATCGATTATCGGGGCAACACAAAATGCAATTTTGGTGTGACCAACCCTGCATAATTAAAATTATTATTACCTAGTAGGTATTAAAAAACCCCAAACCTTTTTCATAGAACTTTTCTCCATATCTTGTATATATTCCTCGATAATCGACCGTTTACAAACTTATCAGCGACTCTGTATATGCTTATTACGGTAACCTCTACGGAGGTTCTCCTGTGCACTGGTCATACGATGACCAAGAAAGAAGCTGATGTCAGCTCTCAGTCGATCAAGGTGAGTGCAAAGATTTGAAAAGCGTAAGCCAAAAATTAAAAAATGTTGTCATACAGGGTTTTTCGAAATTCGCGCACACGGACTATGGCATGGTGTACGACAAACATTGAACAAAAAGTTCCTCTACCAGTTTTACCTATTTTTCGAGCAACCGCGGTTTTAAAAATCTCGGCCCCCCCCCTACGCTGCGCCACTGGTTAAACATAATAATAACACATTTTTAAAAACAAAAGAAGGTTCAAAATAAACTATAATTATGACGAGTACGTAATTACAACAGTTGTTCAAAATGTCCGCCGTCTGCTAGTAAACAAGATTCAGCACGTCGAAAAAAAAGTGCCGGTCTGATCAAAAACTGGTAGAGGAACTTTTTATTCAGTTTTCGTTGTATAACACCATCCCACAGTCCGTGTGCGCGAATTTCGAAACACCCTGTACAAACGTATGTCCTAACTTGCTTCGTTTTCTAGATACAGGGTGTAAAAAAATCGGTTTTTTATCCATTATTTAAAAACATTTCAGCCGATTTAAATAAAATTTGGTATAGTTATTTATCGTCATAAGGGCCTTCCTTTGGTAGAAATAAAGTAAATAAAAATCGACTTAAAAAAACAAAACTTTTACAGCCTGTATC